CGTAGTCGTCACAAACTTGCTGACATGTATCATTGCCTTCCCCACCAACTGTGGTTTGTTCCACATCGCTTCACTCAATTTTGCTTTTTTTATGGGACCTGTCCTAGGAGCACATTCACTTGATGATGGGGTGCTACCCAGTGATCGGCCTCAGTATCGGAGTCTGGAATTCTTTTCACGATTGACTCTCCCTTTTGGCTCAATCGATTGCCATTTTACGCCGCTGAGGCTCAGAGATTTTCTTGAGTTTGAGGTGTAGTTTTTCAATCTTTTCCGTCTCCTCCATTTGAGTAGTTTCGTCTTCAGGTTTGGTTTTTTCCTGAACACCCCCACCTCTGCGGAGTGTGCCGCGAAGAGATTGTCCTCCAATTCTTGGTTTGTGGGAGTTGTAGAGGGTTCGGAGCCCTCTTCAGTTTCCATAAGTTGGTTTTTGGGGTTTCTTTCAGGATCCTCCGGTGTTTGTTTGTTTATCCATGTGATTCCCACGAATATGAAAGATCTAAAAGTCAGCATCAGAGGAGCCCTCTCACCGGTGTAAGGTTAATTACTCAACGGAGGTCATCTGGTACCCATGAGGTTCCGACATTGGTACAGTTACCCGTGTACCATCCAACCATCGGCTCGGGTCGCATAACACCATACATTGTGGCTGAATTGTGAGATTAGGATTGGGATTGAGGTATAAAGAGGGATAAGGTGTGGGAGTAGTGTTTAGGAGGGGGACACGTTCAGCTCCTGTTCCTACGAGAGGCTATTAAATTTCTTACAAGGATCTCACATTTCCATTAAATTTACCTTAAAAATACCGTGAACTTATTTTACGACTCGATATAATTAGACTTTATAGTAATATAATTTGTGTTTAATAACAACATAAAACATACAAATGAATAGCTTCTTATTGTTTTATTATTTCGTTTCTACGTACTATCTAGTATGTACTTACTTCTGTCGGTTGTGAAAACGCTCATGCGTCAGAACGGCCAGGCTTTCAAAATGTTCAAAAACTAATCCATCGGCTTTCTGCCCTTTTTCATTTAAACCGGGGTCTCCACTTCCTCGATGGCATTCAAGAGCAGCCGATATAATGAAGCATGAAGAAGAGGCCAGGCTTCGCCTGGTTTGCAGTTCCATCAATCACACCCGCCCTCACCCCATCGTCAAACGGATTCTGATTTCTTTCATTTCGCCGGCGGACAGATACTATCGCCTGACTAGAAAGGGTGTGGCCCTAGATAAGGTGAATCGTCAATTTCCCTGATACTCGTGACTAATTGCATTTTACCGCTCGTGACATGGAGAAACAAATAAAAACAAGTAAATCTAGAAATATGGAAATGGAATTCCATCGAGCGAGACGCTAACCTTTGGCATCAGAAGACATACATATAAACTAATTTACCTACTCATGAAAAAATATCAAACAAGTTATTTTTCTACTTTATAAGATATAATCAGCAATGAATTTGTTCAGTTCAATTGGTCAATTCTGAGCTTTAACCTGAGCAACTGCATCATCTAACTGTTCGAGGTTAAGGAAAGACGATAACTTTTAGACTTTGGTAATAAGACGAAAGTTTAGTTTGAACAAAAGTACAGCACCTGCTCTTTCTCTTCATGACATAGAAAGCAAAAACTTTATTAAACGATGGGAAGAATCCAACTTCTACTGCACCCGCCCTATGTACCTAAATCTGCTCCTTCAGCTCCTTCTTGAAATAAACGTCTCGCATCTTTAAGAAGAAGGGAAAACTACAGTTCATATAAGGATTTTTTGGAGATAGTGAGATCCGGTCTGGTGTGACGTAGGTTTTAGAAAAGCATTTTCTATATCGTGTCAACGTTTCGATCTTTATTGAGATCATCATCAGGGCTCAAAGTGTTTGTTTTCTGTGTAGATGTGTCATTCTTGTATGCCGTGTTGAGAGTGCCAGTGAGATATTTACAACACACAAGAATAAAACATCTACACAAAAAACAAACACTTTGAGCCCTGATGATGATTTCAATAAAGATCGAAACGTGGCACGACAAAGAAAATGTTTTTCTAAAACCTACGTCACACCAGACCGCATCTCACGATCTCCAAATAATCATTGGCTAACGGTCACTAAATACAACACATTTCATACAAGGTTAAAATTGGAGTGGTTGGATCACCATGGGACTGGGCATCTGGCATCTAGAAGACAATTTTGCCATAAGAACTAATACATAATTAAAATAATTTGTTGTAATGTGTCTGGGGAAAGGGTGGTGCATTTTTCGATGCGCCATAAGAAAAAAATGTTCCATGTGCTTAAATTGAATTTGGTGCTATTTTCTAATTGAAGCGAATTTCTTGGATTTTGAAACATAAAAGTGTTAATAAATGAAGTTTGTCAAACAGAAAATTAATTTGTATTTAACTAGATAAAGCTACCAAATTAATGATAAGAAATACTTAAATAACTATTAAGTACTTTCCTAAAGAAAAAAATAAAGTTCGAAAAACAAAACAAAAATGCTTAATCCTTTTAAAAATATAGTTCCTACTCACAGTAAGTTGTTTTCAACGATTCAAAGATTTCAATTTTTTTAGAAAAAGTATTAAGTATTTACCTAAAAAAAAAATATAAGTTCGAAAAAACAAAGCAAAACATGCTTAATCATTTTAAAGATAGTTCCTAAAGGTAGTTCCTACTCATAGTAAGTTGTTTTCAATGATCCGGATTTCGAGCTTTTAGCGCATCATCAGGTTGAAGGAGTTCTACAGCCACGTCTCTCGACATGAATTGCAAAAGATTTACTTACATTTGCACTTTTGCAATTCATGTCGAGAGACGTGGCTGAAGAACTCCTTCAACCTGATGAGCTAAGAGCTCGAAACCAATTTCTCGAATTGAAAACAACTTAATGTGAGTAGGAACTATCCTTTTAAAAGGATTGAACACCGCACTCCTCCACATTCATCAATTCTATAAACTATTATTACGAATCTACTAGAGTCAAATGAGATGTTTGAACACGCCCCCTTCATCGGAAGTGGCCCAAACTTTTCAAATTTCATAGTTGAACTGGCATAATATCGTCATAACGTGTTTGTATAGCATGCTGCAACTGATTCATGTTTTGAAAGCCAATGGGATTGGGGTAAATTTGAGACTTGATCTGACCTCACAGAAAGAAATCGATAGGCGAACGAGGTGGCCACTTGAAGGATGTTTAACTTTGCCCATAAACCTCGCCTAATTTAATTATTTAATTATGGATATCCATCTGGTCTAAAATGTTGTTCTTATTGAGAGAGATTCGAAATTTCCTATTATATAAATCCATTACATTTCGTGGTCCGATTGACCAAATAACTTCTTTCAATGTTCTTCTTTATGTAAGGATTGGTTGAGATAAAAAAGTCAGTGTCACGAGCGGGAGTCGAAATCACGATCTTCGGCTAATACGCCGCTGCACTACCATTGAGCTATCGTGACTTCGATCCACTCGGACTCCAACTTCCCATCTCAACCCACTAGTATTATATAAATATGAGTGAATGATTTTAATGACGTATGGCGGAAAGCTGTAGCCTATCAGCCTGCTCTCACTACAGCATGCAAAAACCCCGTCGAACTCCTTTCGGAACTATGCTCAATTAAAACACCATAGGCTGGGCCGGGATTCGAACCCTAACCACTCGGCCGCCATGGTACCCTACAAATAGAGGTCTTCCCAAAATCCATAAGCAAACAAAAAAAGCTTTAATACAGAAATCAATTTTAATAACAAATCTAATTAAATTGCACCTAAGTTCATTTAAGCAGGTGGTGCATTGTTTTTCAATGTTCTTACATAATAACAAACTACGGTATATATACTGATATATTCTTTTGAGTTACTTTCACTAATTAATTTCCTCATCCCCACTAACCGAACCCGATGTTGTTTACTCTTGTCCAATCATTAAAAAAAAAAAGTTATAGCGAGGGTTACAATGTTCTTCTTGAATATGATGGTGTACCTCTAATAGGTTCATTTTCAATTGACCCAAAGGGAGTTATTAGGCATGTGACCGACCATTAATGATCTGCCAGTTGGACGCTCAGCTGACGATATGTTAAGATATATTAAAGCATTCCAATTTGTACTCAGGGGAAGTCTGTCCAGCCAATTGAACCCGGACAAACAGACAATTAAACCAAACCAGAGAGATTCTTTAAATTACTTCAATAAATTTAACCCAGCTTAGACATGCTGAATATAATTTAACATGAGGGAGTTAACGTGTAGGGAGTACCACCAAGGGTCATGAGTCATGACTGCCTTAAAAATATGTTGTTAGCCACAAATGCCCTCTCTCCGGCGACTTCCGGCTTTCTATATAACATTTGAACGCGAAAAAAATATATTTTCATTATTAGGCAGGGTTCATAGAGGATGCCAAATAATTTCTTGATAATACTAAAGTTGTCACCTAGTACTGTTTTTAAATTATTTGCGAGTTTAATTTATTTCTTAGGTCTGCGTATTTTTTGCAAGCTATTAAAAAAAGTTTAACAGTGATTATTTCTCCGCAATCTGGACACACTGGAACAAGCTCTCGGGACATTAAGTGACCGTGCGTCAATCGACAGTGCCCTATCCTCAGTCTAGCCAAAGCTGTCTCTTCTTTCCTGCGTTTTCGAAGGATGTGCCCCACTCTTTGACAGAACCCTTAATTTCCCGAAGTTTGTTATTCTCTGGTATTCAATTTACCATATAATTTTTTTAATAAATGTATTAAAATCTTCATAAGGTTATTATTTTATGTTCTTCTGTTATAGCTTTCTTTGCTGCGCATTTATTTGATTTTATAAATGTATTTTTCTATTCGTTGTATATTTTCTATTATATTATTTCGCTGTAAATTTTAATTTACTTTGTAAACTGTTACTTTTTTGTATATATGAAAAAAGGGCGTGGCTGCCCTTTAAATACTTTTTAATTACGTCACAGAAGGGGTAGAGTCAACCTGTAGTTAAAACCTTCTTTATAGTTATGAAAAGCCGGACAGGAGGTTTCATCTTTATAACAGTTGACACAACAAAATTAAAAAACCAAAATTGGATTTAAAAAAATTCTGTTAACACATATTCGGTGAAAATATCGGTAAAAAAGAAGAACTCATGTATAGAGTAAAGGTAAGTATGAGGCGATGAAATCTGGCTTTTTTCGAACGAAGCGAAGTAATATCCACTTTAAAATTAGAACATAGCGAGTTAAACATGCAGCACCTTTGTTTGTTCGGGCAACTGAGAAGGATTTCACCCAGCCCTTTGGCACAAGTTCGCTTTTTGACTTTGTCAACCGTAGGAAAGAGAAAGGCGATCACTCCAACAGCCCAAGCTCCGCAAAACGTCCGGCTGTACAGCGACAAAAAAGGCCTGGTCTCTCACGAAGGCTCCGATGTGTCAACAAACGTCAAAGAAATTGTCAAAGAGACGACAAAGACTGTGTCTTATTCAGTCGTAATACTGGCAGGGGTGAGCGTCACTGCGATGCTCTTCTATGTCATATTCAAGGAGCTTTTCTCGAGCAAAAGCCCTAACAATGTCTATGCGAAAGCGTTCGATCGATGTACCAGGGAGACAAAAGTGCTCGATGCATTAGGCGAACCTATCAAAGGCTTTGGAGAGGAGAACAGAAGAGGAAGAAGACGACATGTTAGGTATTGGGCTAAATTTAAACAAACTAAACAAAAGGGACTGTTTGATTTTTATACTTCCACTTTGTACAATAATATTGTTTATAATTCACAACATTGCTCTTTGAAATTTTCTTTTATAATAATGATATTATCAAGTATACAGACGTTATTTTATAGTCATTAATTATATGTTGCTTAAACCTAAGAATTTTTTTTATATCCGATGTAAATAAGGTTCCTTTTATACTTTTACAGAATTAAATATTTCTTATTAGTTTATTTGGTAAGAATAATGTTTTGTCTTTTAGCCACACCCTCTATGAAGTAAATGGGGTTGTACACATGAGGATGCGATTTTATCTAAAAGGTTCCAGAAAATCAGCAACTGCTCACCTTGAAGTTAAAGAGGTAATATTTAAACAAAAAATTGTACAGTGGAATCCTATTAATACAAATGTCTGTCTAATCTGAACATATTTGGTCGGCAGAGTGGAATTTTTTTCCTTGGAAAATAGTTTTTTTTATCTATTTATTGTTAGCACTTTTGCTTTACTCATTTCAACCTATGCTCCTGATAATAATAATAATGTAATAATAGCCGTGTTTAACATAACCATAAAATAAACATATTTACAACCTATATTACATATTGATACATCGTGATTGAGTAATAATAATCTTAAAACTAGCTTGCTATAAACATAATGAACAAAATTAATATTAAAAAAAAGTCAATACACCTGGTCATCTGGACCATCAGAGGGGTTGTGTTGCTTGATAATAATTCAGAGGAAAAAGTACAGCTACAATAATAAAGTAATCAAAGAAATACCATATTAAAGAAAATAAAAAAAAGAAATAAATAAGATTCTTCTAATACTTAAAGTATGTGATGAGGAAATATCTGTATTGCCATGTTTTCTTGCAGTATTTTACCAGCTCCTGCCGACCTGATCCATTTAAAATGTGTATCAGCTCCTCAAGATTTAGGGTTGTTTTTGTTAACTAATTCAACCCTAAATTCTTTTAGATGGCTACAAAATTTACGTACTGAGGTATAAAATTTCTCCACAGCATTTTATTAACAATCCTACAGTTACATTCTGGACCTTCCTTCAGTGCGTTCTTTTCAAGATCTAGTTTACTGTATAAGGGGTGTCTTAGATTGTTCTCAGCTTGCATTTTAAATTCCTCAATAATTTTAATCTTAGACATGTCCTGTGTGGTAATCTTTCTATCAAGTAGGTCCTTCAGCGTAATGATTATTCGGATATCGTGAGATGCGGTCTGATGTGATGTAGGTTTTAGAAAAACATTTTCTTTACTGTGCCAACATTTCGAATTTTATTGAGATCATCTTCAGGGCTCAAAGTGTTAGTTTTCTGTGTAGATGTGTCATTCTTGTGTGTCGTGTTGAGAGTGCCCAAACACCACACACTTCAGCATAATACAATTAATTAAGGTTTTTAGTTGAGATAACAAAGTCAATGGCACGAGCGGGATTCGAACCACGATTTTCGGCTTGATACGCCGTTACTCTACCTCTTGAGCTATCGTGACCTCGATCCACTCGGCGCTAACTTTCCATCTCAACCCCACCTTTTGAATTTTCCCTCCTTTTTACCATTTTTCAAATGTCGTGTAATCGGATTGGATTCTCGACGACAAATGAAATGGCCACGGAGAGCTTTAGTGAAGTATACTTCATTTTAAATCATTAAATTCACTAATTTCATGGTCCGCTTGACCAATTAATATGTTACAATTAATTAAGGTTTTTAGTTGAGATAAAAAAGTCAATGGCATGAGCGGGATTCGAACCCATGATCTTCGGCTAGATACGCCGCCTCTCTACCACTTGAGCTATTGTGACCTTTTTGCCATTTTTCCAATTTTATCTCAACTAAAAACCTTTGTATCCCCGGTCTGTACTTATAACATACCGGTCAGTTACAGGTCATCAAGAAATTTGTGTAGTAGGTCTGGTTTTAGTGGTTGGATGTTTTCTTCAGTTACGTTGTACATCCAAAAAACACTTATTCCTGTGGGCAAATATGGCATCACAATTTGTTATTAGGTGTTTCTTTTCTGCTTCTTTGCAGAATCTGCCCTGTTGGATTATACCTAGCTAATCTGAATCCTCAGTTTTAGTCAGTTTGTACTAGTGGGACTACTGTATATCAATATAATTTTTCACCATTTCATGTCATTATTAATAATAATTATTTTTTTTAGAATGAAAATGGTGATTATGAGTACAGATATTTATTCATCCAATTAGATGACTACCCTCGCACAGTCATCGTCATCGAGGACAACAGGCATGACAATTCAAAGGTGTTGACACCATCTCCGGAGATTATGCTATGATGCGGCCTCTCGGCTTTGTTGTAATTTTGTGATATACCACACAGAAAACGAGTCAACATTTTACTTGTTTAAGATAAGGTTGCCTTGATAACCAGAGTCAATTTGTTAAAGGACTGATTGTTGTTGTTATAGAGAGTTCTTTAATATGGATTTCTTAATAAAGGGTTTTTATTTCTGTGAATTAATCCGGTGAAAATAATTAAACTCCCTTATTTGTATAATTCATAAATGTTAATCCAGTTAGTATAATAAAGAAAAAAGATAAAATATTGTCAATGCTAACACTTTTATCTCATCGATCCCACAATATATTTATTTACAGGAAGGCATTTGTTTAAAAAAATGTATAATATATGTGTGTATCGCCACTGTTGTCATTGTTGATGATTACGATTTAGGAATTAATTATGATTACTGTGAACACAACCAAGTGGTTTTTCTGAAGTATTTAGTTGTTCCAAATGTTGAGACAAAGATGTTTGGGCTATAAAATTAGATATCAAAGTAATTAAAATTTATTATCCACTGATGGACAAATTTAATGCACCACTCAATTTATTTAGTTTAAAATTAAATCCATTATCTTTCTGTATTAAGTACAGGTAATTACGAATTATCATAGTCAAAATAAACAGTAAATAATGCTTTGTTTACTTAGTTTAGTTAGGTAGATAATAGGTATTCCGGGCAGGTTATTTGTACACAAGTGTCTGTATAGCAGCCAAAATCAGCTGTGTTAGGGCTACCTTAAGGAATTATCTGTATTTTACTTATTGAAGTAATAATAATTCAAATTCTCTTTTTTAATTTAATTTGGTAGTAAAACATTTTAGAATGTTGGTTATTTTCATGAACTAAAAACACCAATTACTTATTTCAACCTACATATTTCAAGCCACGTGCATAGTCCTTCAAAACTAATTTAGCTAAACTAACCCTAGAAATAATTTTATGAAAAAAAGAATAACCAGCACAGGGAGACTCACTAGGATAGGTAGCATTTAACAAAACCACAAATAAAAATATTTTCAGCCTTCTTTGACCATGAGATTGAAGGAAAACTTTAATTTTTCACCTTTTAAGAACCCCAATAGGTTTAGATAGTGGTTGTGATCAGCCAGTATGGAGCTTTTTAAGTACAATCAGGAGGTGGTTTAAAAAAAATCTTTCATTAAATCAGAGAGAATAAGTGCCAGAATGATTGTAAAAAACCCAACTACAAAAATGAAAATGAAAGTAAGTTACAATTTGAAAATTTGTTTAACCCTAATCATACTGGTCCAATATTTCTTGCTGTACGCCATCAGACATCCCTCTAAAGTAATTGAACAAAAACGATTAAAATAAGACCAAACCAGACAATATAGGCAGATCAAAGTGATTCGAAATGAGAAAACTGCAACTGATCAACCTGCAGACCCAGAAGGTCAGAAATAAAGACTTTCTTTTGAGTGAAAAAAGAAACATCATTTTATATATATTAAGAGAGTTTTGATAATTGTAAAGTTTAGCCCAATGTATTAAGTTAATACTAATTATAGGGTAATTCAATTGTTTCATCTACTATTTTCTTTGTCCTTACAATTCTCGTTTGATCAACAAATTTCACTTACAGTCACACATTAATTTTCAAAGTTTCCAGGATTGAAGAATTTAATTAAAAAACTTTACCTGAACGACAGCACAACAGCAATGAACTCTTAATCTTGGAAACCGAGCATAATCGTTTCCCCTCCTCCTTTTAGTGGGGCCAAGATGATGTATCAGAACTGTCGTTTGACAACAGAATAGAATGAGCAAAATGCATCTCTCTAATATCCAAGAATTCAACTACCCTACAGATACCAAGATGTAATAGCATAAAGTAAATTAGCTAAGTATCATGAATTATTCTGCTATTTATGTAAGTACAAACAAACAACTGTAAATATTGTTCTATAAATTGAAATATAATTATTATGTAAGATGGCTGTATAATTTTTTTAGGAGCCAATAAAGGAAAAACATCTGTTTTCTCCTCCAAGGTTGGTAATACAAATGTAAAAGTTCCCGTCTTCATGTAAATGTATGCATTTTTGCATATAAGTTAATTTTATTATTGTTTATATAACCCTAACATATGCTAGGGTAGGGGATCGGGATAAAAGAAGTGGCCACAGGGTTTTCTGCACCTCGATTTAAATAGATTTATTGTGCTCCTATATTTTTTATAGCTCAATGGCCAGCTTCAGGTTGTTAATCTCCATTGCCTTGCCTGTAGCTCCTTAGTGTAGGATCTTCCTTTCGGCTTTTCCTGTCCTAGTTGCAAGAATCTGCACCTACATAGACCTTCACAAAACATGTCCCACGTTCTCTTCTTCCTGGCAATATGTGCACGGTGTTTCTTCTCTCTATATTCCTATCCAGTGCATGTAACTTCTTAGGCAGCAATGCCCTGTCAAGAGTCACACCAGATGGTTCTGTAACAGTTGCCCTCCAGGAATTTATTTTTCACAGATGACCCTAGGAATATTGTACGACTCATTCCTGGGATATTGTTCAACCAGGTTTTGGACTCATTACGAATACATTTTTGGATGTGTCCTTTTTTGTAGGAAGATGCTAGGCCACTGTAGATTTTGAGCCTAGAGATTCATATTAGCTCCTTTTTTGGCCTACAGGCCTACTTTCTCATTGCCTCTATGCCCCGAATGCCCAGGGAACCATGCTAGGATCAGGACATTTGTGTCAGTGACCTCTGCAAGGGCTTACTTCCAGTTTCATTCACTTTTTGCTTTCACCTCCATTCACCTTAAGTGCCCACTGCCAGAATGTGTTCCTAGTGGCCTATTTCTCTGGCACAGTGTTCAATTGTTAAGATTTTAGACCGAAAAGCTGTAGCATATTTACCCAAGTTTAAGTCAATTTGGTCTTCAAATTCATCCCAAAGGCTCGAGCTCCTGTGCCCTTATCAGTTTTTGAGCTGTCAGGGTACTAGTAGTAATTTGCCATTAGAGGTGTTCCTTCAGCCCACTCTTCCTGTTCTGGTATCAGTACCTTGTACTTTTTGGTAAAGTTATATTTTGGAGTAGTGGCATCAATTGGCATGTCTAATATGGTACATACCTGTATCAACTCCGTCAGTCTTCTTGGCTTTTTTTCATGAGCCTGTGTGTTACTGCTCTGGCTTTAGGGAATGGACATAGGTTTAACGATACCTCCAAGGCACAGTTGGCGTTGTATTCAATGCCCCAGTAACACTCAGGCAAACTTGTCTTTGGGTGGCACTTAATAGCCTAATCGCTGTGGCCTGCAAAGTCTTGGTCCACCACATAGAGCTATTTACTAATTTTGGGCATAGTTTGTGGTAGTTAGTTTTCTGGGCTTTAATTAGCATTTCGCTTTTGTGTTGCTTTCTTTTTCTTTTATTAAATTTTTTGAACTCCCAAAAAAAGATCACTTCCCTAGTCTTGACCCCATAATATACGATGGGATGATCATATATTATTTATTATTTGTTATTTAATTTAAGATGATGATGTGTTATTGATTTGTTATTTAATAATTAGCTTCCAGATAGTTTAGAAAGAGTGAGAAGAGAATAAGGCTAAGTAAACACCCCTGCTTTATACCAATTAAGGACAAGCCGTTGAGAGTCCATTGCTGGTCCAAATTTTGATCATTTTCCAAGTCAAAAAGCAAGATGCCAAAAAATCTAAAATTCAAGTGATTTAATGACCTTTTGTCGTTGAACCTAGATTAAGTATGTACATTTACTCTAAGAATTCATTGAATTTAGAAAGCTAATATGTACATAATATAAACACCAACCATTTTTTAGATTAAAGGAGGGAAAAACGAAGAAAATCAGTGATTCTGGGGGAAAAATTGATATTGACACATAGCTGGTGTTTCAAATTCGTCGAGAAAAAGTATATGGCTATACAAATGAAATACATACCTCTAATCAGTACGGTAGTGCGAAATATTGACAAATATAAAGAAAAACAGTCATATACCCAACAAGGCAGAATTTTTGACAACACACTGTACGAATGTTTCGTCTAAATGTTTCCAGTTTTTGTTCGTGCTGTAATATTTGCGGTTTAACATGTTGATAAACTACCGGACCATTAATACCCTTGATTTTAAAAGTTACTCTGTCTTTCTAACTAGGATAAAGTACATCTAGGGAAAAACACGTCCAAGCTTCACCGGATTGGTTTATTTAAAACTTTTTCTTTTAGATTTATCCTGTTCCACCGCGAATCTTCCTGTCGTCTATGGTATTATACGACGAACCTGAAACAGATCAGATAATCCATGGACTTTGCGCCGCTTATAACACACCAGATCGATCGTCCTTACGTGAAAATCAACTCGGTGAGAAGCCCTAACGTGAACCTGATCTCTTTCGGTATGTAATCATTTATGTATGAAAGTCCTGGAATCGAGTCCTTTGAGATTTATTTAAACAATTAAAATATAGTGAAGCCCATACCGAAACGCCAGACTGTTTTCACGTAATTCCGAGTGCAGGACGGACAGTTCGCCAAGTGCCATTCATCAAGCAGTTCCAATAAAATTGGCATTATGCAAAGAATTAAATGATAAACAATAAAAAAATAAAAGACAAGTCAACAACTACAAACAAAAACAAACAACATGTGTAAAATTATAAAATATCTACAAATATAAATTTATATCGATTTCACTCAGGTGAGGAAGACAGAGGTGAAAGAAGTTATATACAAAGGATTCCTCTTCCTGTGACAATGCACGAACCATTTACTTCCTTTGTGCTGATACTGTAGACAAATATTAAAGCAAGGACGCAAAATAATTGGGCAATGAATTAAAGAAATAAGGAGATATTGTAAAAGTAGGTCGTGGTTTAAATTTGTACGTAATTCAAGTAAACAGGGAAATGTCATGACATAGCAAAATACACCAATATATTTTGTTCAGGAAATTAAAAAAAAACACTTTTATTTTGATTAATTACGGTATTGAAACAAAACTAGATATTGGAAGATTTCCTGTTTAGTGTGATAAACCTATTGTTTGATAGTTACATATCAACTTAGACTGCCTATCTTCTTCTTGTTGGTTCAGACTCGTTTCGGCATTTCGCCATCTTCAGTGTTTTGGCGATTATTGTGAGGTCAAGTTTTAGTTACTAACTCCAGATAATATTTTTTTTAAAAGTTTTATTAAAACTACAACTGTTCAGACAGGCTTACAGCAGAGAATTTATAATAATGAATTAAGTGAAGGGAGTTTATATTAGAAGAAGTATTGTAGCACGACGTAGCAGAGTCGGATTACTGGTTCCTTTCTTGCAACTCCTCGCTCCTCAAGACGAAAGCTGTCCTCATTTTCGTGGTCCGCTGGACCGATTAACATATTTCAATTAATTAATGGCAAAAAGGAGGGAAAATCCTCAAGGTGGGGTTGAGATGGGAAGTTGGTGTCCGAGTGGATCGAGGTCAAGTGGTAGAGCAGCGGCGTATCTAGCCGAAGATCGTGGGTTCGAATCCCGCTCGTGACACTGACTTTTTTATCTCAAATAAAAACCTTAATTAATTGAAAGCTGTCCTCAGTGTTTAATTGGTAGCTGGTAGTTTGGGGGGAACACACCCGATGCATCGCCAGCGACGCTACCCGATGCAAATCTAAAGTCCAATTTTCCATAAGGTTGTATTACCCCGTGCACATCTGCCCGATGCTATGCAACGCTACCCTACTCGACGCTACGCAATCCCCACTGTCCAGATTATCGTCGGGTCGCATCGAGTACAGTCGAAGACGAAAGAACGGGACACTCATATTTTTATTTCAAACTACATGTATTATTATCGTTATAATAATTACAACATACTTATTTTGATATAAACCAAATTAGCCGAGATCAAAAATTCATTAGTTTTTATTTTAAAAAAATTTAATTTTAATGGATTGGTAGAAAATTGATCAAAACACCGGAATAACATTTTTTGATATAATGAATTTAAATAAATAACAATTTATTACACGGTTTTGCACATTAAATTTAACTGTTGATAGGTTGAAAAATTCCAAGATCTCGGTGGTTGAAAACATTTATTCAATTTAGTAAATTACACGGGCGTTCGGGCTCGTGGCCCATCATCAGAAACTAAACATAGAGAAATCTCATAGAAATGATAAATGATGGAGTGAGTGTGGTGTTCAATACTTTTTAAAAGGATAGTTCCTACTCACAGTAAAGAAATCTCATGTTATAATTCTCAATCTGAAGGCACACCCATCAATAATTTCCAAATTTTTTAAATAAAAATATTTATACCTGGACTATGCCAAGTTTTCAACCACGGAGATCTTGGAATTTTTCAACCTATCAATACAGAAGATATGAACCGTGGAGTTGGAAATATATAAAATTAAATTTAACTAACAATTTGTTTCATGGTTTTGCTTATAAAATTACACCATTTTCGTCGAGTAGCTTCAGAACAGGACACTCATATTGTTTGTAGTTTATGTCAAACTATGTATATGTAATTTTGTCGTTATATTAATTACAACATTTTATTTTAATATAAAGCAAATTAAACGGGATCAAAAATTCATAAGTTTTTATAAAAATTATTTAATTATGTTGGTTAGGTATAAAATTTATCAAAACACTGGAATAACTTTATTTGAAAAAAATAAGTTTAACAAACAATTTATTACATGGTTGTGCTCATAAAATTTAACTAACAATTTATTACAAGGTTTTGCTCAAAATAGTGAATTAAGAACAAAAGAGGCGTTGCGATTGTCATACTGAGTTGTGATACACGCTGTGTGACTGTACGTGGCGTGCGCTTGACGTCGCATAGATGTGCACACCCTGCCAAAACGTGAAAAGGCGTCGGGTAGCATCGGGTAGCGTCGCATAGCGTTGCATCGGGTACGGGGTGTGTTCCCGGCTTATCTCTTGTGCTTGGCATTTATAATAGTTGGCTCTTTAATTGCTGTTTTTCTAACATTTGAATAAACAATTTTCTATTCTTAAACAATACATAACATGTTACAAATAGCTTCATTACTAGCATTATTACATATTTAATTTTATAATGGTTAAAGGGCAGACAAACTAATTCTTCAAACGGTCTACATTACTATTGGATTTATGGATTGTTTCAGAAGTTACATTTAGTTGTTTTTGTACAACTGGGATAATATAGGTTTTCATAATTCAATTTGTGACAGTGTGTGTGTGTGTGTGGGCGCGCGTGCATGCGTGTTTTTTTACGAGGGTAGGCAACAGCAGAGGTCATATAAACCCTCGGGGTGCCGGTGTTTTTGAAAAAAAGCCCATTTGTAAGTATTTTGCTTCGAATACAGGGCCGCCTGGATTCGAACCCGGGACCTTTACCTTACAGTGATGAGCGCCTTGTCAACGCCTATACCGTTGCGGCCCTACGTGTTTTGTTGATTTGGTTTGTGTTATAGTCGTTATTGTGTGCTACGGTTTATTTTTCGTAATTGTCTTTGTTTAACTAGATGTATTGAGTAATTTTTCTTGGGATGGACATATTTGAACTTTCTTCTTTGGTTACAGGTATATTCAGAATGTAAAGAAATATGACAAATCTATCAGAAACGTTTGCGGTAGGTTTCAAAGAGAGGTTTTTCGTCAAAGTTATGACTTCGATTTAATAAGCCGCGTAACAGATCAAACAAAAGGCTTATTTGCGCGGTTGAGCAAGAAAAGAAGAATAGGTGAAGAGCCCAGATTTTTGTTTAACCAGTCCTGTTTGGTTTCCGTCCAAACCTTTGTGTACACTGAGGTGACTCCACGAACTTTCATCAGGTTAGTCGACGACATGAAGCTCGTTTGGGCGCTTCTCCTCCTCAGATTGGCAAACGCCAAAGCAGAATTGGTGAGACTAATTAAATTTTTTAACACCATTTTTTTGTTTTTGCAAGATTAATATATACGATTCATCGAAAGGTTTTGGATTATTATATTTAAATTAGATCATAGTTATGTGTGGCTATTGTTTAGTAGGCCGATCATAATCGAGAAGCATAGTTGCGATATGCCAAAACTACGATTTTTCACACTAAAGTATTTGCGTGAATACAATGATTTTTATATTAAATATTTTTCTTAATCCTTAACTAATCCATTTCCGACAGTTATCATCTTTACCAGAATTTTTAGGTCCATATTTGAAATTTAAAGTATTGAAAAAACTTTTTTTACAATGTTTCTGTATGTAATAATTTTACACGGTAATTTGAAATATCATTGGTTTTGAAAAAAATTGTGTTCGTTAGGTCGAAGTATCCAAATCTTAAGAACCTAGATTTGAACCCTATATGACATTACAATTTTCAGGCAAGCTGACGTATTACAAATCAGAAAAAAATAACTTCTATACCAGTTTATACGAAAAATGTTAGATTTCTGAAGAAAGTGAGCTTTCCTTGGTGGTAGCCTGCAAGAACTTGGTTAGGCCTGTAGGCCGGTTCACTAGAGGCGTCGATTATAATTTTATGTTTGAGTGTCAGTTGTTGTTGGTAATATTCGGTCATTTTAGTCTTCCTATCCGTGCTGTTTAGCTGGTCAGGCTTCCCACCCAGGCGCACAAAACCAACAGAATCCAAACCGCGAGGATAGATTGCTCAAGATAAACCTTTCGGATATCAAACTTCAGACCTCAAGAGGAAATTTGATAAAACATTCTTTACCAAGACCGAATAAATACGTAACAACTGTTATTTTGAATAGCTCAGACCAGCAGTCAAATATGGAAGAAGTTTGCATAACCACTTCAAAATTCTTCAAAACTGAGACCATTACAGGTTTTTTAAATTTATATGACGCAGACTTTTGTCCGTTTATTGTCCCGAGGTAAGATGATTTCCAGGCGATATTTTGCTTCCAGCAAACTGAGCTTCTGTAGAACTTTTATACTTGTTCTTTATAGTTTTTTTAACACTTGTAAGTAACGAAGGACACTTGAACATGATAATATTAATTCTTAGCTGCTAAGGGGTGGTTACAGAGCAGTAATGTCACTAGTGAAAGTCGCCCTTAGTAACTTTGTACGCTTGAAACAGCGCCAGCAATTTTGTCAAACCACTTTATTAAATTCTTCTCTACTAGGTCATCATTGCCTGAGCAACATGGTAGGCAACATGAGAGGCTACCAACAATAGAGCTCTTTTGTTGACCCGTCATATACCTTATAAACGCGGTTTATTTATGACATTTGTATAAACATACCAGTTCCTGCCTAATATCAAGATTGTAGGTTCGATTCTCTGAGTTAGGTCCACATGGAATTTTCTCCACTCATGAAACCTTGTAGAAAGTTGTAAAACCCGATGCTTAAAGGGTTAACATTAAGCGTAAAAATAAAATAAATATTAATTCATTTATGTTTTAGTGGTCAATTGACCATGTTACTTCTTTCAATTAATAATTCTTTTTACGTAAGGTCTTGGTTGAGATAAAAAAGCGAGATGAAAATGGGAAAAAAATGGAAAATTCGGAGGGTTGTTGGTGGAGATGGAGAGTTGGTGTCCGAGAGGATCAAAGTCACGATAGCTCTGTGGCAGAGCAGCGGCGTATTTAGCCGAAGGTCGTGGGTTCGAATTCCGCTCTTGGCACTGACTTTTTTATCTTAACCAATACCTTACATAAAAAGAATAATTAATTGAAAGAAATAAAATAAATGTTGTATAATCGTTAAACTGTGTTCTATGGGGATTTTTCTGCGCGGATATTTTTTGCCGTTAAAGATGCAGCCAAAATTTCACCATTTAACGATAATTCACACCTGTTTAGTCTTTGAAATTTTATATTGTACAATAATCAAATGTTATCAAAATAATAATGATGATGGGGTGGTTTATTAAATGGACTTGGCCGAGAAATATTCTATCCTAAATAATTTATTTCAACGCTGTCCACAAATTTTTATGGATTTTGAAAGCAGATAGTGAAAAGATTTTTTAAAGGTTAAATTAAGAACAATTTTTTTTTTTCAGTTTCGAACAGTTATTTCTGCGATTTTCCGAGCATTTTGTAAAAATAAGTCTAATGACCGTTGAAAAAAGTAGTTTTGAATATGGTTTTATTAAAAAGAAAAAAATGCGCTTTTCAAGTAAGTACTTACTACAATGAAAGCATACTTTGCAATGACTTATAATTTAATACAAAATGAACATTGCAAAACGACATTGCAAATAAAGAGGCAAGGTGTTTGACCCATGACACAATGTCAACAAGCCGAAGTTACTTCTAAGTCTTTGAAATGTAAAAGTGTGCCAACGAGTGAGCAAACACACTGAGATAACAAAGACCAAAGTGCTTACGCCAGCTTGCTTCTCTCCTTGCTTTATTTAAACTATAGTTTTAAAGTAAATATTTTAATTTTTCATGTCAATATTAACTCTTTTCGACGCAGCCGGTCAACATTGTCGACTGGAAAATTTTAAAGTTCATGGTAGGTATATCAATAAAACAATGAATTCTAAAATCTATTAAAATCAGCGTTTTAGCAACAAAATCAAATGTTTTTCCTGAAATAATACATTTCTATAAAATTAATAATAACAGTTTATTAAGAATAATTTTCCGCAAGGCGTTGATTCGGCGAGCCATCACTGTAAGCGTCCTGCGTTTGAATCCGGCAGTCCTGATTGTTGAACCCAACATACACAAATGGGCCTATTTTCAAAAACAACGGGATTTATATAACCTCGTGATTGAATATTCCAGAAAAACAAAACAAAGAAATAAATTTATTTCTGATTCGGATCATCCGTTATCGAAAAGACAGTTGACGTCGTAGGTGGAAAATTGGTGTTAGGAACTTTGACAATGTCTGGGGACTATTGCTTGGAAGGTTTAGATGCGCTGGATATTGGATGGCTTGGCTTAACCCCACAATCTCACTCTGTCTGTCCAATGGTCGCAGTAATGTCTTCCATTCAGTTAGTTGAGTATTAATTTTAAATAATTTGTCTGTAAATATTTAATGTTAACTGCTGTAGATCTTTGCAAAACATTATAAAAACATGTATTTAACAGAGAAAAAACTAAGGTAAAACATACACACATTTGAACTTGCACTCAAAATCACATAAAAGAAACTCATTGACACACAGACACAGACACACAGACACAGACAGACACAGACACACACACAGACACACACACACACACACTCACACACACACACACACACACACACACACACACACACACANCTAAATTTCTGCCTCATTTTACTTCATGCGTTTAATAACAAAACACAATTTTAAGACTTAATGACGATCGTTTTCGTGAAAACGGCAGTTTTATGATCCCTCCGTTGTAGAGGCAATATTTAATAAACAAATACCTTGAGACTAATAAAGGGACGTTTTCCTGGAAGTTTTCCCAGTGAAACGGGCCATTAATCTAAAGCCCTGATCACGTTATCCGACTCTTGTCTTTTCACCGACATTTCTTTTGATGGACGACCAAACTTTGCCGCGTTAACAGAGAATGCCAACCGGCTAACGCATTATCTTCAGAAGCGAAGAAGGGCTGAGATAATAAAAAAATATTGCTATCTTCCCTAGGAAATACTCTCGGTTGTCACGCTCAGGCGTTCGGTTTTTTCACTAATTTTCATTTTCTGTCTAATGCAATTCGGTCCATCATTCTAACAGCATGGGGTGCCACTCATTATTTATTTCAAATCTCATTAATATTTTCACCCAACTACACGTAATGACAATGGACATAGTCGATGAAAATTTTATAATGAAAAAGTTTTTTTTTTTTTTTTTAATTTNGAAAAAAAATTAGGTTCATTACTAGGAAAAATATTAATAACTATATGTTCCTGAATGATACTAGTAAAAAATAAATTGAAAAAACTTATTTAAAATAACTGAAAATGTTATTTAAACACAGAGCACAGAAAAGAGATGTTGACTGGCCAGCTGTTGGCTTGCAATCTAATGAAAAAGTAAGGTGGTTTATTGATTATTAATTATAATTTAGCGGTGGTTTGAAAAAGCGTGGATTTATTGATCAGCCAAATTTCGCTGTTTCCTACGGCATTGTTAAAATCTTAGAAAATATTTACCAAAAGTGAAATGGACTAATAAAAAAATAATCAAATTGTTGGAATATACTTGTGTATTTATAAGAATTGGCAAGCAATTACTATTAGAAATTAAAATTAAAACTTTCAAATTATATTAAATTTACCTACGTGGCTTGATATAAAAAATCCTTATTTTATAAATTTTTAAGATATAAAGCTTTTCACTTTCAGCGGTTTCTTCATGATTGCATTATTGTTGACATAGGCTATAGTTTGGAGGAGTGGTAAACAAAATTTGAACTTATACGATCTAACTTCTAAACATACTCGTCCTATCAGTTTTTGAAATATAAGTTTTTCACGTAAATACTTTCATCATGATTGTTCAACTATTTCATTTTTGTTTTATTTCGCTGTCTGCACTTTTTCAGTTGCAATTGACTATTGACCTAGATAGTAAAATAATGAAATTTCCCGGAGTGAGGTGCGGCCTGGTGAGACGTAGGTTTTTAGAAAACCATTTTCATTATCGTGCCAACGTTTCGATCTTTATTGAGATCATCTTCAGGGCCTGAGATTTATAAACATTATTTAAATTTCACAAATAGATGTAGGATGCTTTTTCTTTTTATCAACATCCTACATGTATTTCTAAAATTTAAACAATGTTTATAAATCCCAGGCTCTGACGATGATGTCAATAAAAATAGAAACGTTGGTACGATAAAGAAAACGTTTTTCTAAAACCAACATCACACCAGACCACATCTCACGATCTCCAAATAATCATAAAATAGAATAAAATTTGACATTTTAAACTTCAAAGATTTACAGTTTTGTACGTTTAGGATAATTTTCCCACTTGTTTTGACAGGAAACATATTTGATTTATTAATTTTTGAGATATGAAGCTTTTTCACAACCAGTAGTTTCATCATGATTGTTCAATTATTTCATTTTTGTTTTATTTCACTGTTTGCTCTTTTTCAATTGCAATTGACTATTCCTAGATAGTAAAATAACGAAATTGCCCTGATGGACTGTTGTTAATTACATGGGTAGGTAAACAAAATTTGATATTTTAAACTTCAAAGATCTACAGTTTTGTTATAATGAGGAAGACGATAATTTCCCTACTTGGTTTGACAGTAAACATACTTGATTTATCAATTTTTGAGATATGAAGCTTTTTCACAACCAGTAGTTTCATCATGATTGTCCAATTCCTGGCACGCCTTATTTCCTGTTTGTTCTTTGTCTGTTGCAATAGACCTTTGTTTTAATCCTTGATTTTCTAGATGTACTCTATTACAACGTGACAAAAATAAATAAATAAAATAAAAAAATAAATCTAATTAAAATTACATTAAAAAAATTCTGAAGACAACGTAATGAAATTTCCTGGAGGACTGTTACTGTTGTTTGGGATATGAATTTATTTTATATTCAGCATATTAAATATATTTATATTTATTTATATTCAGCAATTAAAACTAACATAAGACAATAGGCCATGCGAAGTTGACTACATACAGTGTGTCCAAGCTTTGTTTCTTTGCGGTTCTAGAAAGGATAAAAGTATGAATTGAGACACCCCTTCATTTTTCATGTAGTTTCTTCATGTAAGGTTGATTTTTTTGGTTTTGTTGATTATTTAGTTCAACCTCGATTCGACGTAAGTCGAATTCAAAAATCTTAATTTTAAATGAGCACCCCAATTTTTTAAATTTTTCTTTCAAACTACATTATTTGGCGAGAAAAGAGAAAAACGAGCACTGAGTTATTAAAATCGGTCCGATAGAACCGGGGACATGATTTTTTGAAAATGCTGTTGTAGTGCGTTAGGTCGAAACCACTTTATTTCGCCTTCTACTGCAAATATTTTACGTATTTTATATTAGAGTTTACGGTGGGGATTTGAAACCCATCACTAGTCGTGAGGAACTGGGGAAAATAGTTGTAGAGGCTTCTCATTCTCTTGACAGGGAAGCCATAGGCCGTGGTGTGTGCGATGAATGGTGGAGGCGATCCGGGGCATATTTCAACAGTTGTAATATTTTCATGCAGTTTTTTTCTTCCTTTTTATAAGAAATTGAAATTTGAATTTTTAGAAAATTTTTAACCCTGATAAGAAAGGACTTGTCCCAACAAGAGTCTGGAAAAGAAAAATAAACAGCGTTAATTCCTACTTTCCTTTGATTTGCTATTTAACCTTTTTATTCCCTGATAGCAATAGGTATGATTAATTGTTAACTCGGCTGTGGCTGGTCCCAACCCCGAGAGAAAGGAGGTGGGATTTGAACTGCAACCAAGATATTTCGGTGAATGAGTCTGAGATAAGATCAGTTAAGGTCGAGGAGGAAAAACTATACAAAAAACGAAATTTATGGGATTTGGCAGGAAATCTTGTAAGCTTTCAGACTTTTCTTTCTATTTTGGGTGATTTTCCACTCTTCTTCAAAATATTTGCAGAAGAAGGCAAAATAAAGTGGTTTCGACCTAACGCAATAGAACAGCCTTTCGGCTATTTTCAAAAAATCGTATCTCCGGTTCTATTAGACTGATTTTAAAAACTCAATGCTCATTTTTCTCGCAAAAATATCTAGTTTCAAAGAAAAATGTGAAAAATGAGGGTTCTTGTTTAAAATTAAGAATTTGAATTCGACTTATGTCGAATCGAGGTCGAACAAAATAAATCGAGTCATAATTCATACTTTTTTCCTATCTAGAACCGCAAAGAAAAAGAGGGGTGGGACACCCTTTATGGGGACCGAATGTGTGGTGTTTAGTGACCGTAAGTTAATGATTATTTGGAGGTCGTGAGATGCGGTCTGGTGTGACGTAGGTTTTAGGAAAATATTTTCTTTATAGTGCCAACGTTTCGATCTTTATTGAGATCATCTTCAGGGCTCAAAGTGTTTGTTTTCCGTGTAGATGTGTCATTCTTGTCTGTCGTGTCCGCCCAAGCAGAGATAGGTTGCTCGATGTGACCCACCTAATTTGAAGGGTGCAATTCGTTGGCTCCATATAGAGAGCATGTAGCAATGCCATCTGATTTGACTGCTTGAGCACAACAGCGAGTATCTGGGTTTAATGTTCCGATTTTTGTAAGAAACAGATTTGTTTTATTTTATGCAGTACTAACAGTTTTGGGTCTCTAGCGTCTGTTGAGAGTGAATTTATTTATTTGCGTGAATATTGAGTACCTCATCGACCCTCAATTAGGTTAGTTATATAATACGTGTAAAGAGTAATGGAGGATTTAATCCACCACCCTAAATGGTATGTAAATAAGTAAGAATGTATTTTAGAGTAAGTGAGAGGGTGAATGGATTTAAGAACTGATTGCGTTGGGGACTGAAATGACCTAGCTGTCAATAGCTCCTGGAACACAAAGTCGATGGTTGGACGGACAAGACCGAGGTCTTGACAGCTTCTTTCTTCTAAGGTAGAAGTGATAGACTCACGCTGTACCTATTTGTGCAGATTTTAGCTTATATTAATCAGTAATCAGTTTCCTTGTACAATGTGTCGGCTAATTGAAGATCCTCCGTTTGTTTGACGCGTAAAATAATAATAAACTATGTGCTCACCTGACAGTGGTTCGGTTGACATTCGGATTTATCGTTCTACCTTTTTATCACCACGTAGTTGACACATGAAATTTGACATGACAGTTATCATAAAGTAATAAATTAAACTCATAATCAGAAAGACTTGCCACGATCCAAAGTAGCATCGGTGGCCGCAACGATTGGAGGCGTTGACACGGCGCTTATCACTCACTGTAAGGTAAAGGTCGCGGGTTCGAATCCAATGGCTCTGCATTCGTATCGACTCTTCTGTTGCGAACCACTCCAAAGTCTTAAATTTCATTAAGTTTTTTATACTTAACTTCATGATATTAGATGCTTTATTTCTGAACAATTATGAAGTATTTATTGTTTCATTTGATTTTTTTACATTACCACATAATTATTTTAAAATTACCTTATTTTATTGTAATGTTTTAACTGAAATTATCACATACATTTTATAGAATGGGTGGGTTTGGTTCAACTAGGCGGACCATGGCGGATCTGCCTTGACAAAAACGATTCTAGAGTAATTCATTATTTTTCGTGGTCCGTTTGACCAATTAATATCGTTCAATTAATTAAGGTTTTTAGTTGAGAAAAAATGGCAAAAAGGAGGGAAAATTCAAAAGGTGGGGTTGAGATGGGAGGTTAGTGCCCGAGTGGATCGAAGTCACGATAGCTCAAGAGGTAGAGTAACGGCGTATCAAGCCGAAGATCGTGGGTTCGAATCCCACTCGTGGCACTGACTTTTTTATCTTAACTAAAAACCTTAATTAATTCTAGAGTAAATTGAGTCAATTTTACAGCCTATATTAAATTAATTTTGAGGCTTTATGTCATTTTTGTTCCAGGTCTGTAATTCCCTAAAAGTAAACACGAGCAGTGTCAAAATCCAAGGAGCTAAGCCGTGCCTTCTCGAATTCGAAAAAGTCTGGCCGGACGCCTGCCGTATCAAAGCACAAGCTATGGGCCAGATAACATTATCTTCACCATCTGCGGAAACGGCAGTAGACAATTCGACTAAAATACCTCTGAAATTTACGTCGACTCATTTGAAAATTAGGTTACTATTTATAATTTCTTTGAAAATTGGTGTTACTCTACGGTTCGTAGAAATAATTAAGATTATTCAACAGAAAAATCTAAATAAATGATGTCGACAAAGTTATATGTTTATTTCATTCACTCTTGGTTGATAACGAGTAGTTTAAATATGTAGGTATTGTGGATTAGCGATGGATTATTTCCGTCTATCATGATTTTTCTACCCTCGCTAGTTTAGTTCATCAAGCATAAAAACATACACACTTCAGTCCAGTTATCTGTCTAACAACTGAAATCTGAGGTTGATGATGGATGTTGGTCAGAAAGTCAGTGAACTCAAGCTGAACCGGCATAAGGTTATTTACATTTGTAGAATTACTCAAACGCGTTTCGGCATTGCGCCATATTCAGTGAGAAACTGTCAGAACGGAAACAGTTCCTCAATAGATCCAACAACCCCATGCCGGTTCAGCATGAACTGAAGTCTGACTCTCCATGTGAGAATAAACAAACCACGATGATCGAAAACTACCAAACCATCGATCCTCATCACAATTTAGGCATTTATTTCAGGAGCAAGAACGATACTGGATATTCCCTAATACTCACACAGGAACGTTGCGATTGCAAGTCAGTCGAGAGTCTTTACTACTCGTCGAAGCTCAACGGATCAGAAAGGAGTTGTTACCGTATCGAAAAGAATTCTTCATCCGTATGCCATCTGGAACTGAGAGTGTTGGACGACGACTGCACAGGATCACTGGAAATCAACGGGACCACGTACATCACCGGCTGCTTGACAAGCACAAAAAGGTCTGAGGTCTTTCTCATCTTGTATTGTATTATTGAAAACACCATATAGATTATACCAAATTCATGATTATACAAAATAGAGCTTTTCGTCATTACTTTGGCTACTCAAATTAGCTCTTTGGCTTTAATATGTAATTGAGTCAAGAAAAGAGAAAATATTTATGGCCTTTTGTACAAAGCTAACCGTAAATCAACAATTTTAATTATTTCAATTGCAAATCTAACCTTTAAAAACGTTTTTTATTTAAAATGTACATTAATCAATGTAGTTAATTTATTGGCGTGAACATGTCTGATAATGCTTGATTCGGAGAACGTGAGATGCGGTCTGGTGTGAACAATTTAAACATTTTCTTTATCGTGCCAACGTTTCCATCTTTATTGAGATCATCTTCAGTGCCTGGGATTTATAAACATTGTTTAAATTTTACAAATACATGTAGGATGTGAAAAAATGAATTTATTCAATGCTAGAAATTTTAGATTAAAAAAATTAAATAAATAAAGCAGCAATAAGAGCATTGTATAAATTCATTTTATTTATTTAAGTTTTTTAATTTTTTTTTTTAAATATAAAATTGCAAGGATTGTATAAATTCATTTTTCACTTCCTACAAGTATTTGTAAAATAAACAATGTTTATAAATCCCAGGTCCTGAAGATGATCTCAATAAAGATCGAAACGTTGGCGCGATAAAGAAAATATCTTTCTAAAACCTACGTCACACCAGATCGCATCTCACGATCTCCGAATAATCATTGACTAACGGTCACTAAACATCACCCATAATGCATGATATTCTTTAAAAGGCTATCTGTAGGTATTTCACTTTTGAACTAGTTCCATTTTCCTTTCATTTTTAATTAAATTTTAGGCTTGAATTCTCTCGGGGAAATAGAATTTATTTGATATTCTACGGCTTCAATGGTAAGGTTAAGTGGAGACAAATCGCCTGCCAGAACACGACGAGCCACAACCTTGTAAACCTTCTTCAGCTACCTTTCGACCCGTAAGTTTCTTCCCTCCGCCTCTCCCAAAAAAAAAATGAAATAAAATAAAATAAACAAAACTTATGCATTTTTAAATATAAAGGTCTGGACGCTGTTCGTTTGTGTACGATACCGAAGAGTTCACCTTAAAAGCTCCGCAAACCCCCGGAGAGTGTACTTTCAGGGTGGTGAAGTCCAGGGCGTCCGTGTGCCGCCTCCGCATGCTGTTTTTCTGGTTCGACTTGGGCTACGGCAGGTTCGGACGATGCGAAGGCGGATTTCTGGAAGTGGACGGGTACAGGTTTTGCGGTTGCCAATCCGGACTCCTTTGGACCACCGGTTCTTTAACTTTCAGGTTGGACAGATAAAACCAAACATTCATAGTGTACTTAGATGGACGATGTTTAGAGAAAAAGTTTATTTTCAAGTCAATCAAGCCCTAATAAAGGTAATAAATGTCTGCCTCTGAGAGCCCAGTTTTTCTAAATGGTCACTACTTTCTTCTCTAAACTCGTAAGCCATCCTAGTCGTACATCATGTTGATGTAGCACTACCATGGTAACAAATGTTGAAGACATAATTGAATTTCTCCAACCTTAACTCAATTTTCTCAGAAATTCCATTTTTCCTACACGTATGAAATATTTTTATGTATGCTTTATGAAATACATCTATACAGTTTTATGTATTCAATTCATGATTTAATATGATAGTCGTAGAAAAAAGGTATTTTTGAAATGACCTACTAATTTTTTTAAAAGGGTCTTTTATTAAAAAAGACTCCCATGAAGTATATTAAATAATCTCCTGACTGTTCATATTCTCTCCTTTATTCCCAGGACAATACATCCTTAGGTTAATCTTTAATATTAGAAAAAACTAATTTATTAACAAATTTTTTAAATCTTTCTTCGTCCTTATATTTCTCACTCATGTGTTCTTTATAATCATCATCTAACATATTTAGTCCTCATGCAAATTCAAAGTTGTTACGGTAAACATTTATTACGAAAAATGCCGATTGAAAAGATTTCTAAAGCAACTGACAAAAGTTGCAATACCATCCACACCAGGGTAAATTTACTTGATTTTGAAAATTTTATTAACAGTAGGTACAATAAACCAACCTTTTCTAATCTTCATTACGGCACTCCTGATATTACAACCTATAGTCTTCCTTTTCTTCAAACACTTCTAGTTAATTTGTATTTATTGCAGGGGCGATCAGGCAATTCTCCGGTATGTTAGTCAATATCCTGGAAGCAATATGGTCATTAAGGTAAAATACCGTTCAATAATTTTATAAATGTTTTCATCATTCTGTTCATTCCAGGTCACTCAGGAAGACTGCTACACTCCTCGTACGAGGTTCAAGAGATTTACATTCAAAGGGGAATGCCGCCCGTTGGGTAATCCGTCCCTAGATTTTCCAGGTCTGTTAACTTTTTCCTACAATTTATTAGAAATTATTAAGTTGTTTTATTCTAGACCACTTCAACGACGTGAGAGAATGTGAACACGAGGACAAGTGCACGGTTATTACTTCCAAACAAGGACAGATCAGTTCCGTCAGGTATCCTGTCGCCTACCCAGGAGAAATATGTTTCAGGTTTTCAAAATTATGCTTGTGAAAAAAATATTGTCATAAATACTCATACTAAAGACTAAAAAGTATGTTTTTTAAAAAGATTTTCAGGCATTGGATGCTATACCCTACTGAAGTTTGATGACTTTGACCTGCCCTACTCACCACAGTGCAGTTTAGATTATTTAGTTATTAATGAAACAAAGTACTGTGGAAATAGTCTTTACGGATTTTCTGGTAATCATTTATTTAATTTTAAAAACAGTTAAAGAATTGAATTAACCCAATCTAGCCAACCTAACCCTACACAACCATAACCTTTACCCAGTCTATCTTAATATAACGCTATCTAAACAAACCATGCTAGATGAACACTAGTTCAAGGCAAAAAAAAAAAAAAAAAAAAAAAAAAAAAAAAAAAAAAAAATTCCTAACCTATCGTCCATACCCATGCGCACTCACTGGTAACGCTCAATCACGCATAAAATTGTGTACGCAAACAAAAAACAAGAACAACATGAATCGGTGATGTTGCCTAACCTTAATACAAACAAATCTAACCTAACTTACTTAACCTTATCATTCTTAACCTATCTTAATAATTACTCATGCGCACTCATTGGTAACGCGAGAAATCGATGACAGAAAAACGGTCACGCAAAAAATTGTGTAACCAGTTCAAAAACATATACATGTTAAAACGTTTACATGAATCAATGACGAAAAACGACTATGTTACTTCTTTCGTTTATTTGTAGTTATCAAAGATCCAACTTTCAGAAAAAAGCGCCATTGTTTCGAAGCGTAGTCAGACGTTAGAAGAAGAAAGTGGCTTCTGATTAATCTGAATACGATTTAATTTTTCCTTACTTTTGCTTATCTTTAAATTTTTTAAAGACAAAAAACAATGTTTTCTATCGGGAAATTTTCTACTAGTTACCTTGCACGACGTCAGGGATATAAGAAAGGTGTGGCGAGAGCTGTTTCTTTCCGTTCCTGCGAATTGTCTGTGCCATCGATATTCAATAAAGTTGCATTACGATTCCTTTTGTTCATTAAATTGATGGATTTTGTTTTTAAAATGAACTATTGAATACAAATCTAAGAGATCATCTGGGACAAAATACAAGTGTAAAATATAAACCTTTTTACAACCCGACACTGGTTGAGCCACTTTTGGAGTTGCTTCTGCCTGATAGGATTTTCTAAAAATGTTTAATTTTCAACAATTAAACTATTTCTTCTTCAAAATAGACAATCTGTTGAAGTTCGGAGCAAATTTGTATAGATGCGGGCTTCTAATGATCATGCGTATACGATCTAGATAGTTAGTTTGGGCACCTAGCAGTTTTAACTTTTCAGAAAGTCCATGAGAGTAGTAGTAGGTACTAAAAAGAAATTCGATTTTGGATTTTTTCCATAAACCATGTTTCGTCCCAATATAGTTTTGGCTTTTGGCGAAGATAATACCAAAAACTGGAGGAGGTCCCCCGAGGACTGCAGCTGTACAGCTTATTATACTTTTGCAAAGATAATTAGTAAGGCAGATTCTTCTTCAATTCTGCACAAAGATTTGAAACTTTGGTTCAAATGTAAATACTCTTTTAAGGACAACCGCTGCCTACTGGTCTTCTAAAGCAGTCAGTCTTCTTCTAAGATTGATTTTGTGTGAGAATGGTGAGTTAGGCAGTCCACATTAGAATGGCGGTTCTTAATTTACAGTCCGATATGTGCTTTTGATGTTTTCTTTTTGTTTTCAAGTGGATTAGCTAGTGCTTAATACAGGTTGTGGTCTTTTAGTTTCTAGTAATTTATTTCTGCTTAGTGTATTAATTTGTTTCGCAGCGAGAGTGGGATCGGGAGAAATAACTGCCAGAATCACCGGACATGGCGGAAGAGGCTTTCTAGCGACCTACGCCCAGGTTGAATGTCCGGAGGAAGAAGAAACAGAAACGATCACGACTGGGAAACCCGATACTGAAGATACCTCGGAAAGCAGCGGCAGAGAAGCCGATGTCAGTTGTCGAAAAACCTTCCATGAGAAAGAATTCCTCATAGAAAGACCCGACCCCAGAGGATGCGTTTACATATTGAAAAAATACAACAAAGTGCGATGTTAAATCGAAATAAACCTACATATGTCTGTTAATGTTTTTTCTTTTATCAGGACGTCTGCGGTCTTGAAATAGAGGTTTCCGGATTCGATGTCCCGTGTGGGAAAGAGACCCTGCACCTTGATAGACAATATTACTGCGGTAGAATCCCCAAAGAGACTTGTACGTCAACCGTTTGACTGATTCATTTTAAATCTAAGTTTTACTTGAATTTTGGCGTTTCAGTTTACCTCGCCTTCACCGGGGACGACATCGTCATAGAACACGTGGTTTCTGATTCTTCAGAAGGCAGGGGGAAGTTCACGATAAAAGGACGGCAGCAAGACTGTGCTTTTAACGGTATAAAACCAATAAACTTTTATATAAAGTATGAAACAACCGTCTTGGAAGAAAAGCATGATTATTACTACCAAAAATCCTCATAACTTAATTTGGCTCGTAGACTTTCCCCTTTCCCCAAAAAATATACCAAAATCAATTAGCACTTCTCTGGCTAACATGAAAAATCCCGTATAAATATTTAAAATAATAGGGTGGTAAGACAACACAAATAGCTTTTAAAAGTGTCCAAAACTGTTTTACAAATTATATTTATCATGCTAGAACTAACAATTTTCTAAATTATTAAATTCACTAGTTTTCGTGGTCCGCTTGACCAATTATTTAATTATATGTTGTTTCATAATTTCTAAATTATGTGTTTTCAGCTGATCATTTTAAAGTTTAATACTTACTTTAGACTTGAGGTAGAAAATTAGCTCTCAACGTGTATCTAAAAGCTAAAGTGTAACAACTTAGCATAACTGCTTATATTATACAGAGAAAAAAGCTTAAAAAGTTTAATTGTTGCTTAAACTTGATACGAAGGACGAAGGCAGCTTGGTTGAAAATAAAAGAAGTAACGATCCTGTTTGGTCTATCTAACGTCTTTGTCTGTCATGACCACAAAATTTTGAAGAACAAATCTTAAAATTCACTAGTTTTCGTGGACCGCTTGACCAATTAATATCTTTTAATTAATTAAGGTTTTTAGTTTAGATAAAAAAGTCAGTGTCACGAGCGGGATTCGAACCCTGCTTTCGCTAAATACGCCGCTGCTCTACCACTTGACCTATTGTGACGTCGATCCTCTCGGACACTAACTCTCCATCTCAACCCCACCTTTTGAATTTTTCCTCCTTTTTTGCCATTTATCAAGAGTTGAGAGGTTGGGATGGGAAGTTAGTGTCCGAGGGGATAGAGGTCACGATAGGTCAAGTGGTAGAGTAGCGGAGTACCTAGCCGAAGGTGTTGGGTTCGAATCCCGCTCATGACACTGACTTTTTATCTCAACTAAAAACCTGAATTTATTGAAACTTAAAATATTCAAAAATCTTGTTGGGTTTTTGGAAAATAATAACGCTTATTATTTTTAAATCTGAGTGTTACATTATGCAACGTTTACTAGTTCGGCTGGTTAGGTTCGTACTGTTTTTTTCTAGAAAGTATGTTGAACTTCATGATTGTCGACCTTGTAATTATCCGGGGTATGAATTTTACTATGCTAGCAGAAGAAAGGACGAAACAAATCTTAAATAAACAACGATAATAATGATATGTACATAAACAGTTTGATGAATACCAGGACATCAAGCACCCTTACCCACTTTACGATTTCTTCAAATTAAGTAATTTTAATCCCCAGACGCTATTCTTTTCAACCTTTAGCATGAGCACGAATGATTAAAAACTTCACACTCACCAAATGGTGAAACGGAGAAACAACTGAATGAAAGACGGGATAAATGTGTACTAGACATTTACCGGACGACTCAACTGGCTGAGCAAAATCTGTTGATGGCGTGAAAAAACTTAGATCCTAATGCAAATATTTACAGAAGTGTAAGTATTTCCTGTCGTACGGGCGGACTTAACGCTCTCCTGTTGGTTTTCGCGAACAAGCTTAGAAATTATAGCTATCAGTTGTTTCAACTATTGTACATCAGGAATATTTTTTATTATTAACCACTGATCTTCTAGATGTTTCTCAGCAGTTTGCCACTTCAAAATGTGATCAAGATTTTTCTATTATTTTTCTCCAGCGGAGGAAACAGAGGAACGAGTCTCAAACTGCGTGAGTCAGCTCAAAGGTGATAACGGCGTTGCAACTGCCCCATCGCTTTTCCCGAGGCCGCCGCAGGACCTGGATTGCGCCTATCAAATTTTCCCGTTGCCAGGTACGACAAACCTACTTTACAATAAAATAAAGACAAGACTTGGTTTTATTAATGTAAATTACAATAATTCAAAAATAATAAAAAGTCCATTTATGTTTAGTGGTCAATTGACCAAGTTACTTCTTCCAATTAATTATTCTTTTTATGTAAGGCCTTGGTTGAGATAAAGAAAGTCAGTGTCACGAGCGGGATTCGAACCCACGACCTTCGGCTAAATACGCCGCTGCTTCCACTTGAGCTATCGTGACTTCGATCTTCTCGGAGACCAACTCTCCATCTCAACCTACACCGTTCGAATTTTCCCTCTTTTTGTCATTTTCAAATGTCGTGTAATCAGGATTGAATTCTCAGCGACTTATGAAGTGGCCTCGGGGAGTTGTTAGTGAAGTGATATTTCTTTTACTTATTAAATATTAATCCATTTATGTTTTAGTGGTTAATTGACCGAGTTACTTATTTCAATTAATTATTCTTTTTATGTAAGGTCTTGGTTGAGATAAAAAAGTCAGTGTCACGAGCGGGATTCGAACCCACGACCTTCGGCTAAATACGCCCGTGCTATACCACTTGAGCTATCGCGTCTTCGATCCACTCGGACACTAACTTCCCATCTCAACACCACCTTTTGAATTTTCCCTCCTTTTTTGCCCTTTTTTTAATCTCAACCAAAACCTTAATTAATTGGAAAGAATTTATTTGGTCAAGCAGACCACGAAACCTAATAAATGTATAAACATTATTCTTTTCTGCCTATCCTTGTTCGTTTTGGTAGGTCTGTCAGACGCGTTTCCGCATTTCTGAATTTTGATTGGTCGGTCTGTGTTTTATTGTCTCAGCCGTTTAAATTTTACAAGTTTTTAATATTTGGAAAGGAGTGTGTAGGTTTCACTTTTGTCCGTGGGTGTTTGATTTGTTAAGTTTGTTTTTTGTTCTTTTCCCACTGTGTTGTTATCGCCGGTTCGTTTTCATTTTATGTCGTTTTAAGTTATGTGTGTCGAATGTTCTATGTTTTCAGTTATGTTCTTTTTCCATCCTTTTTGTAGTTGTGGATCAACTGGTCTTATTGTTGAAGGTTAATTGTGGTTTTTGTGTGAGACGAGTTGTAAAATATTGCGCCTAAATTATCTAATATGCACTTTGTATATGCCTTTTAATTTTTTCCATACCATCTACCGACCTGTATTTATAAACTTGATGTCAAATAGATTTGTCTTGCCGACGCTTCGTTGTTTCAGAATTTTTCCAACAGTGTTGATATGGTTTTTATGCATGATTTATTAAATATATTAGTTTATGCCCGCATTCCTTGTATATGTATGTAATGTAGTAATTTCAAATCTGTTTATTAGAATTTTGTTTTCTTTTTTGCCTTTGTTACTAGTTTGTAATTGGCGCACTATATCGTAAGCACTGTTTTATCTTAATTTTATTGTTTATATGCCTCTTTTGTTTTTCCATTGATTTATGTAAATGATTGTGGTATGTCATACAACTTCATATCAACTTTTTCGAATATAACATTAGCCCTTTTTCAAATTTATCTAAAAAAAAAAAAAAAAAAAAAAAGTAGCTCATAAAAACTACAATTTCTCACTTTTCTAAACTTAAAAGAATTGTTTATTTTATATATTATTGTATGTAAATTTTAATTTTTATTTGATTTTTAAGACCAATTTTTTAAATTTAACAAAATCTCGAAAGAAGAATCATCCGTTTTTATGTTTAATTATATATAACTTTTAATTTATTATGATATAAATGTAGGATATGATTTTTAAAAGACCATTTGTTAATGTAACAAAAATTTGGAATTACTTACAAACGGGCTTTTTAAAAAAAATACATCGACAGACCGAGGGTTAATAAATCTCATAGTTTAAATATTCTCGTAAATAAAAAAAAATCGCAAATGTACAAGTATTTTATTTTACATGGTTATAATTCAACCCATCTCCTAAGTTTTTTAATACTTTACATAAAGGGTTAAATTTGAAATTGAAAAGGGTTAATTTAAAATTAAAACAGGTTAATTAAGTTACAAAATTTATTGATGTAATTTTGTGTTTGTGTTCAGAAAAGACCAGTGACAATAGGCAGGTTCAAAAGGACCAAACCGCATATTCATATTAAATTTTCAAGCATCCGGATTGTTGATTAAAATGTTCGAAGTAAAGAAAATGAATCAGTGTACCAACAAATTGAAAATTGTAAATTTTATTTCAATAATTGTCACTGATTTGACAAAACAATCAATGCATCCTGATTATTGTTTGGATCGAAGACATTTAGGCAAAAAGTAAATTGTGACGTTTCTTCTTTTAAATTCAATTTCAAGAACTTTTTCTAATCCTTAATTTATCTTTCGTTCAAATACCTGTTTGATCACACTCATTTTAAATGTCGTGAGATCTGCGAGCAACATTCGTACAACGCGACATATCACGCGTGTGTGAATTATGCGTGCCTTTTATTATGTTGGACGTCCTCTCTTATCGGCCCCATTCATCGTAATTAAACAGAATTACGTGTCCGGCCGAAATAGACCACTCACTTAATTCGAAATATTTGCGGGAAAAAAATCCAAAAAAGTAAAAATGTACAAATTGACGGTATAAATAAAAATTAATTTTGATAAAATATTTCTGTTTTCAAAGGGAAATGCTCGGTCCGACTGGAGTTCGGACAGGTCGACATAGGAATAAGCGAAGGATGTTCTCGCCATTATTTAAAAATAGGAAATAGAAAATACTGCGGACACTCGCTCTCAGATACCAGCAAAGGCAAGTTTTACAATATTTAATAAAATTACTATGATATTTACAAACTATCGTTAATTATTGTTTATTCGGAGATCGTGAGATGCAGTATTTAGAAAAACATTTTCTTTATCGTGCCAATGTTTCGATCTTTATTGAATCATCTTCAGGTCCTGGGATTTATAAACATTGTTTAAATTTTACAAGTACATGTAGTATTTGTAAAAAAATTGAATTTCTACAATGCTAGAAAATTTTAGATAAAATAAATAAATAAAATGAATTTCTACAATGCTAGAAAATTTTAGATTAAAAAAAGGAATTTATACAATGCTAGACAATTTTAGATTAAAAAAAGGAATTTATACAATGCTAGAAAATTTTAGATAAAATAAATAAAATGAATTTCTACAATGCTAGAAAATTTTAGATTAAAAAAAGGAATTTATACAATACTAGAAAATTTTAGATTAAAAAAAGGAATTTATACAATGCTAGAAAATTTTAGATTAAAAAAATTATACAATGCTAAAAAATTTTAGATTAAAAAAAGGAATTTATACAATGCTAGAAAATTTTAGATTAAAAAAATTTATACAATGCTAGAAAATTTTAAATAGAGTAATAAATAAAATGAATTTATAGAATGCCAGAAAATTTTAGATTAAAAAAATGCATTTATACAATGCTAGAAAATTTTAGATAAAATACATAAATAAAATGAATTTATACAATGCTAGAAAATTTTAGATTACAAAAAAATAATAAATGAGTAAAAAATATAAATGAGTTTATAGTGCTAGAAAATTTTAGATTAAAAAAATGAATTTATACAATGCTAGAAAATTTTAGATTAAAAAAATAATTTTATACATTGCTATAAAATTTTAGATTTAAAAAAATAAATTTATACAATGCTATAAAATTTTACATTCAATCAAATTATTTATACTCACTGCTTGAGTGAGTACAAATACATTGATTGAATTTAAAATTTTATAGCATTGTACAAATTAATTTATTATTTTTTTATTTTATTTTTTAACTAAAAGTTTTTAGCATTGTATAATTTTTTTAATCTAAAATTTTCTAGCGTTGTATAAATTTATTTAATTAACTAATTTATTTATTTTATCTAAAATTTCTAGCATTGTATAAATTCATTTCTTCACATCCTACAGGTATTTGTAAAATTTAAACAATGTTTATAAATCCCAGGTCCTGAAGATGATCTCAATAAAGATCGAAACGTTGGCATCAAACTTACGTCACACCAGACCGCATCTCACGATCTCCGAATAATCATCAACTAACGGTCACTAAACTCCACATATGTTAATTATTCTATATGTCATCAGACAATTTTATCCAAGTAAAATTTTAATTTCTAAACTTTCGAATTTAGTCAATTAAAATCCTCAAAGTATTTTTCCCTAGCAATATTTAAAAAATCCAATGAATAAACATGTTTGATATGGTAAAAAAGGTGGCAAAGTAATTAACAAATCCGCCTTTGATACATGGCTATAAAGCCGGGCTAAAACATTATCAAAGCCATAAATAATTGTGTAGATTTTGTTATTATCCTCCAAGGTTATTTGTTACATTGACCATCGAGGTCGATCACCCAAGAATATCATCAATAATGTTCTATTTTTTTCATTACAGTGCTGAAATTTTCTCCGGACAAATCCCCGCTTGAGCTTAGATACAGGATTGGAAAAGACTTGCCATTTTTGGACTGGATTTTCAAATATTCGCAGTTGTCTTGTTAAAGCCAATTTCTTTTAACGTACCACTGTAAAACAAATAAAGTTTTTTTGTACCCGAAAGTCACGTTTTAAATTCAAACCGACTGAGGTTGTCTGTGAATTTTGTTTTTAATGAACATTCACAAATTATTTTCAATTTTTTACATACTCTATTATCAACATTTTCCATAAATGAGCAGCAAATTGTAGCACATTGTGTACATTAAAATTGCAGATAACGCTAAAATTTCATTAATCATACGAGTTTGTTTGAAGGCCGCATGCAATTCGATGGTGCGTTTGATTTTGCTCCTTTGCGGTTAATATTTATTAAATAAACAAATTTTGCCTATCACCATTTAGAAAAAAATCAAGCTTTATTTATTATTTAAACTTACTTTTATATTAACTTTTTTTTGGACGTTTCGGAATTTTTATGTAAAAATAAAAGCAAAAATTTATTTAAAAAAACACTCACACATGGAAAAGTAAAAAACCCACAAATTAGCAATAAAAAGACAATAACTATTTAAAAAAAACCTCCATGTTACATAATAAAAATCATAATCAAATAGTATTGTTTAAGCATTAATCAATAAAACACTTTATAATGTATATTTATTGTTCATAGAAACTTGTAGTCTGGTCGTTGTCCGATCATTTTGGTCTGCCCATTCTCGCTGTTTGGTCTGTTTGACGCGTTTCGGCTTCTCGCCATATTCATTGTGACGAACGTGCAAAAAGATCCAGATTGACAAAATAACACACGACTAGATAGGAAGACCAAAATGATTGACAAGGACCGAACTGAAGGTTCATCTCTCTCTGCAGATCTCAAAATGACATCTTAGTTCATTGAAATTGCCTTTTTACTTCACAGCAAAATCAAGTCAAAAAAAGAACAAACAGAAGGACGAAAAATGGGATAATTATTTTACTATGGATGTGGCTAAAGTTACAGTTATGGCATTTACACTAACGGACAAATTGAACGCACCACTTAATCTATTTAGTTTAAAATTAAATCCATTATCTTTCTACATTAATTACAGGTAATTGGGAGCTATCGTGGTAAAAATAAACAGTAAATAATGATTTGCACAAAAACTAGTATTATTTTCTTTCATTCTGCTACGCCTAAAGGTCGCTTTCAGTTAATCTTTTTCCTTCGTGGATTCATTTGATATTATTTTAATTAAATCCATTATATTTAGTGGTCTGACTGACCAATTACTTCTTTCAATTAATTATTCTTTGTATGTAAGGTCTTGGTTGAAATGAAAAAGCTAGTGTCACGAGCGGGATTCGAACCCACGACCTTCGTGACACTAGCTTTTTCATTTCAACAAGACCTATATACAAAGGTTATTTTTATTAAATCCATTAGAGTTCGTGATCCGATTGACCAATTAAATTTTTTCAATTAATTAATCTTTATGTTAGGTATTGGTTGAGATAAAAAGTCAGTGTTACGATCGGGATTCGAACCCACGACCTTCGGCTAAATTCGCCGCTGCTCTCCCACTTGAGCTATCGTGACTTCGATCCACTCGGACGAGAATCGAATAGATTACACGACATTTGAAAAAATAGCAAAAAATAGAGAAAATTCGAAAATGGGGAAGTCACGATAGCTCATGTGGTAGAGCAGCGGCGTATTTAGCCGATGGTCGTGGGTTCGAATCCCGATCGTGACACTGACTTTTTATCTCAACCAATACCGTACATAAAGATAATTTTTATTCTTAAACTTTTTTCAATGATTCCAGTCAGACATTTGAGTGAGTATGACAGTGTCATGGTCATAACATTTATTAGAGGAAGGAAACAGCCTGCCCAAAAATTGTAAATCACTACAATAGAAAGGGTTCTTCGACGCTTCAGAAAAACAGGTCCTCACACAAGAATGCCAGTACAGGGCAGAAGATACATTCACCCGTCATCAGTCTTTATTAAACCGTAACATTACGGGGAAAGAGGTAAGATATATGATAAGACAAGTCCGAAATATTTCGATTTCCTCCAGGACAGTAAGAAGAATGCGTAATGATAATAACCTCAAGGTCCGTCACCCAGCTCATGAACCTCTTCTTACCTCAGCTCAGAAAATGTCCAGGCTTCAATTCGCACCTGAACATGTGAATTGGACATTGGAAGTTTGGGGACTAGTTCTCTTTACCGATGAGGAGAGAGTTGTCCTAAATTCTTCGGGTATGTGTGTGCGGGTCACCTTTTGATTTACTTATTATTATTGGTTTATTTTATGACATTTTTTGGGGTTTTAAGTAATTTTGATGAAGGGTAATTTAAGGATAAATTAAGGTTAACTTTTACCAGCGTCAGTTTTTTTTAATATTTTAAACAAAATTTTGTTTCACTTTTTTTTGATTGGTTGAACCATGCAATGGTCCCCTTTGTCTTCTTGAAAAACAAGTTTAATTGCCTTTTATTGTTTACTCGGCACCGAGAGGGATTGTACCACCAGTTCTTTTCCTGGAAATTCTTTCCCCTTGTATAAAATAAGTGGTGTCATGGCAGAATAACCTGCCACAGTATGTTCAATGTCATTATGTTTTAGGATACGATCTAAAGAACAAAAAATATGTATCTTACCTTTGTAAATTAATGCAGTTTTCTTGACGTAAACCAATGTAATCAACTGATCCCAAAGAAGTGTTCTACAGCATGTCTTTTCTAAAGAAGTACATCTACTTACTGTTCTTCGGTCTGGCTCCCAGGCATCCTCTATAAGCATAAATGCTTCTTACCCACTGTTTTATCCCGGTATCCTGGTATTATATAGTTTTACCAACTGCTCCTTTAAAGTAAAGTATACCAAGGAGTAATCAGATATACCAATACAAACCAGCTGCCCCATTCTTTATCCTCTCACTTACATTTTTCATTCAAGGCAATAAATACAGTCATAAAACACATATCTCATTCGTGCCCGAGTCCAATATTCCTCGGTGTTCGAGAGTCCTGGTCCAACGTTCTCAATAATAAAAACATTCGGTATAATAAATAACATTTATTTATAGTTAACAATGCAGACAGCGATCTCAAGTGATCATCAGCTACATACTTCTATGCCCTAAGACGCGCATAGGTTGTTCTTCCTTTGCACACTTGACTGTGTACAATCAGTTATTTGTACTGTACTCTTAATTATTCTACATAACGTGCGATAACGTTACATAACGTTACTCATGTACGATCCAGTTGTGACCTATGCTTAACCTGATATGACCTTTTCCCTTCTAGATCCGACCTCCGGCCGAATTCCGCAGGTCGGGGTCAAGTGTTTTTTTAAAATTTTATATCCACTGGACGTACAGCAAATGTGGCGTTAGTTTGTCTCATCGTGGCCAACTTTGCTACTTTATTTGCTCTTTTCTTGGTTATACCAATGTACTTAGTTGTTTATGTATCGTTTTGACTCTTTTCCAGTTTTTTTTGTGTGCTCCTAGTAAAAAAAGTTGTAATCAAGACTCAAATATTTATAGAATAAATTGATATGATTGAACATACAATTTTTATAAAATCATTATAGCAGCTCGGTGTGTGCTTTAAACAGGGTGAGTTTAACATCTGTTACTAACCTATTTTTATTTATTTTTTTTTTATCTGGGCGCTTTTGGAAAAACCCCGACACACGTAAAATTTTAATTTTTATACAGCTTTTCATGAGCCAAAAGTTTTGATCTAAAGCGGCCCATAGACGATCAATATTATTGCACAATATTTTGGGTTGTGCAATTTAATTGATCGTGTGTAGACGATATTGAAAGTTTGTGCAATACATTGCATGATTGACGAAAAGTTGAAAATATATTGTACAACCTGGAAAATATTGCACCATCTGTTGGCATTATTGCGCAATATTAGCCAGTTGGTGAAGTATCAACAAGTGGAAAATATTGCACAAACTTCAATATCGCCTTCAAACTATTCAAGTTCATTGCACAAACAAAATTTTGTACAATATTATTGAACGTTAAGGGGTAACCGTCAAATTATTGTGCAATCTATATTGTACAATAATATTGACCGTCTATGGGTCGCTTACTCTCCAGGATAGCGAGATACGAATAGGGACATAAAGTAATGAATAATGTATTAAAATAATAATAAAAAAATAATGAATAAAAATAAACTCACCCTCAAAACAGAAAAAATAAAGATAATAATAATAATACTGAAAACGATAATCTCGGCGTTTGGTGTTTCATTGAGTATGCCGGAAAATAATGCAATTTTTCATGTTTACTTTCAATTATCCCTCTTTATAATAAACTGTTTACATTTGATGGATTATTGTTTTGTACGAATATCAACCCTGTTAAACGTTTTCCAAATAAAAATGTTTGTTTACCACAGTTCGTTACTTGGGAATAATTCAGTCTTTACCAAGTTGGCATCTCGTGATTTTCGTGCAATTTCGTTTTACGAGTTTAAACTAGGTCGGAACTATGCCCAAGGGCCAGAAAAATTAATGAAGTCTGGGGCGATGGCAGTGTGAGTGAGAGCACCCTTCGGAGATGGTTTAAAAATTTCGAGAGGGCGACTTTAGCCTTGAAGACGAAGGTCGTGGAAGAATTTTTCCCTTGATGACGTTCTGCAAGTTTTGATCGAAGAAAATCCCTGAAGAAAAGTTGATCTCATGAATTAAAAGATCGCCAAAAACATCATCGTTATTGCGCAACCTTTCTTTGCTGAAACATAAACGGACATTTTATGGATAGAATTGTTACTTGTGACGAAATTAAATTCCTGGCGAAACAGACAATGCCGAAATGCACTGCACTCAAATTGAAGCAATGCACCATAAATTCGCATTGTTGAAGCCATCTTGGGTCAGACTTTAGCTTTGAGGACAAAGAATGTCGTGGAAGAATTTTTTTCCCTAGGTGATACTTTTATGGATATAATTGTTACTTACGATGAAAAGTGGATTCTGTACGATAACATCAGATGTTCAATGCCGAAATGTATGGCAATGCACCATAAATTGGCATTTCTGAAGCCATTCTTTGGTCAATCGGAAAATAGCCGAAGATATCAAGATGGAGACTTTAACTTTGAAGAGAAAGAAGGTCGTGGAAGAATTTTTTCACTAGATGATAATTTTATGTATAGAATTGTTACTTATTATGAAAAGTGGATTCTCTACGATAACATCAGACGTTCAATGCCGAAATGTATGGCAATGCATGATAAATTGGCATTGTTGAAGCCATCTTTGATCATTCGAAAAATGGCCGATTTTGTTTCACGACAATGCTCTGTCCCGGATCACATGTTTACAACACGAATATGTTGGATGTTGGTTATGAGGTTCTGTTTCACCCTCTTTATTCTCATACCTCTCGCCTACCGACTACCATTTTTTCAGACAGCTGGAACATTTTACAACATAAAAAAATTTACTGATCAAAAGTCGTTAGAAAATCCGTTTATAGAATTTGTTTAAAAAAAACTCAACATTTTGATCAGAGAGTATAGAGAATTGCCATCTCATTGGGAGAAATGTTTTGAGAGTTATGGAAGGTATTTTAATTAATAAAAAATGTATAAAATAATTTCTTTAATTGTTGTTATTTTATAACAATAAACTTGCATTATTTTCCAGACAACCCAATATATTTTATGGTTAAAAAAAGAAGTAGAAGAATCAATGAATTTAAATAAAAAATATAATAATAAAGTAAGTTACAATAAATGATTTCTCACAATCACAAACAAATATGATATACACAGTTTCAAAAGTTTAAAAAAAAAAAAAACGCGTTTTTGTTGTTTCGAGAACTTGGCAGAAATTTTATAGTAAAATTACTTTGAAAAATAAGTTCACAATGAAAAAGGCAAAAGTATAACTGAGAAGCGCATTTTTTCTTTGTGGTTTTTAAAAATTTTGTTTGTGGTCAATGCCTATAAGAATTGGTTAATGAATATGACTTATTGTGCTCACTTTGTTAAATATACACAAGTGTTCAAAACGCCTAATTTTGAAACCGATCTTGAACTCTCGAACAGTATGTGTATTTGGTCGAATTATACTCAGTTGGTCATTTCTAGCTTCCCTTTCACATGATTGCTAATTGTGTAATATTTTAGCCTTATCAGGGGTTTAACCGTTGAGAAATTTTGTTGACAGTAATTAGAGTTGTTTAATTGTCATGTGGCACACATTTAAAAGATTGACTAAAGAACGGCCTTGATGATTAGATTGCTTAACATAGGAAATAGTTAAGCCCGGCATCACCTTATTTATCCTTGCATGTGAAACGCCCAAATGACGGTGTAGGAGGCCGCGCCTCGAAAATCTTTGGAAATCAAGAATTAATTTAAGAATAGAAACGTCTAGGATGTTCTAGTGAAACGTTTCCGATTTAAAGACGTTCTCTTATTTTGTCAAACGGGAATTCTATAAAACTAAGATAAGACGTTGAGATTTCTTAAGAGTATAATAACATGGCATTAAAACATATTGTGAAGTTTATTATGATACAATTGATAATATTTTTTAATGTTAAGATACAAAATGAAAGAAAGGTTTCTCCACCCAGTTGTAAGGAGAGGTGTGCCTCGGGAGGAAATATACAGTGATCGTGTCTGTTGGTGTCGCTCGTGGTAGCTCAGCGTTTTCCGAGGAATCGTAAATTGGTGACGATCGCCCTGGCAGGCCTGCGCCTGTTGCAGAAGGAAACGGTCCTGTCACCGTTGCCGGACCTCGTTTCGTGGAGCGCCATGAGGAGCTGGAAGACGTCCTCCCGGGTGGGCGAGCAGAGGTAGCCGTCCGGCTCGTACATCCGCCCGTTTTGCCTTTTCCACGGGTACCGTCTGTAGTACCTGGGGGACTCACAGTAGACACTTCAAAAAATACCACGAATCACATTACAGAGTTGGATCAGAAGGAAGATTTAGAGTGGCAGTGCCTTCATCACTGGCCTTCACGGAGGTTTTGCAGCTTGTTTGGTTGTTTTTATTTTTTTTATTTTTGCTTTTACTATTACAAACTTCTACTGGGCATCTAAACAGATTTGGCCATCTAACAAGTATGATGCATTATTTCAACTAACAAATAAACAACTCGTCAGGCTCAAGTGCTCATGCATACTCATCCCTGCGATCAATACCATCCAATCTTGTAGCAATTTTCGTTTTGAATTTTTCAATTGTCGTTATTTGCGGATTTTGTGCATGCATTGCCTAATGGAGAGCCGTCTTAAAAATCATAATATTACCATTAATTGCAATGGTCACTTCCCAGAGAAAAATGATCACAATTTTTTTTTTCTGGGGCATCCAACAGCTAGATCATATCAACCCTCAGGGTGCCGTTGTTTTTGAAAAAAAGTTCATTTGTAAGTATGTCAGGTTCAAACGGGTTCAAATGCAGGGCCGCTGGATTCGAACCCGGGACCTTCACCTTACAGTGATGAGCGCCGTGTCAACGCCTAAACCGTTGCGGCCACCGACGCCCCAAATTTCTTTATTGATTACTGAGTTGTAGGAAACGATGTTTCCTTTCAAGATTTACCGCAAATTAAATAATTACATATACTTTCTATCAAAATTTCCCCTTTTGTATAAATTCATAAAACACATAAATTTGTCCAGACGGCCATGGATCGGAAAAGACGGTATTGCATTTTTGGGACGCCTTTGTCAAAAGAAAACGATGTGCAGCAGCTGTATTATTGCAGCACTGATGGAAAAAATCGGGCTTTTGTTTTAAAATCGCTGTCCTCAGAGCGGTATTTGAATATGGTGACAGATACACTTCTTTTATTTTCAAGGGAAAACTCTCGAACTCTAATTTGCTTAATCGAAACATTGCCAAAATGCTATCCTTTCAAAAAATGTGCTATTAGCTGGAAAAGACAATAAAACTGGCGCGAGGCCAGGGTTATAAGCTGGGTGTGGCAGTGATTTCTTCCACCACTGCTCATACTTACTGCTTACGGGGGATTGATTTTATAAATTAAATATTCATTATAAACTGAATGTCTACAATTTTCCCGACGTGCTATCTTTTCACGTGTGCTATTGTCTGGAAAAGATACTAGAATACAGAGATGGACGTTTCTCCCCTTCGTTTAATTTCATGAAATACATATAAATCACAAAAGAAACCCTTGATGATGGACTACTGTTAACATAAGTATTATTAAAATAATTATTAAATTAATAATTAACTTAATTGGGACCTAACCTAACTCGTTCCTAACAATAACCCCAACCTTGCCTTAACCTTACCTAACCAATAAGACAAATGGATGAATGGGTTATGCTTTGGCAGTACATATTGAGAGTAATCAATAATATTTATTCCACAAAATATAAACTGGACTCTCGCTGTACTAACAATCGGGCTGGCTATAATTAGCTGTACTATTCTAGCAGGAAGGATAGCAAAAGAGCAATAATATGGATGGACAACGAGGTCTATAAACAAAAGAAATTTTAAAAAACTATTTACATGCATACATTAATACATACGGTCGTATTAAGTTAAGACGACCTGCTTAATGTAAATCAATATAATCTTTTGTTCTAAATGAATGAGATGGAAAGTCTTTAAAAAATATACATCCGGTCAACACGGTTATTTGCACCTAAATGTTCTTCTAAATCTTCCTTCCTTTAAATTGTAACAATTTTATTATGACTGAATTTAAAGTTTTTAAAAAAATGTGCATATAAAAGAAAAGGTAGAAATGTATTGCTACAGGCTGGAAATGTCAGTGATCTTGTTCTATTGATGGTAGGAAAGGGTGGAAAGTCGTGCACAGGTTCAAATGGCGAATTTGAATAAAGACTTTAAAAGACAAAAAAAAAGTTTTTGATCCTTTCGAGTATACCTTGTACGTTTGGCGATGACGTTCGAAGGTTCTGGCAACTCTTCCTGGACGAAAACCAGGGGGACGTCGACGTCGTTCGCCGATGTCAGGAGGTACACGAGGTAATCTGAGAGGGTGTCCGGATCGATTTCTTCTTCTAAATCATCTACAGATTTTAAAAAAATATATATCACTAAAAGAAAAAAACATCATTTTTATATTCAATATCAAAAGAATGTGGACAATGCTTCTTTGTCTTAAATTAAAAAGGAACCTCTGATAAGAGCGAGATGTATATTATTTTATTTTTACTTTTTTTAATATAGGGCCAAGTTTGTTCTTTTATTTCAAAGGAGAATACTAAGGAAATAAAGACTGTTTTACGAGCTGTACATTTCTTTGAAGAAATAATTAAACATTTTTCTTTAAGCGAGAAAAGAATTTATTTCATTCGGTCAGTGTGATTTTAATAAGGATCGTATTTCCAGAATCTGTCGATGGAAATTTAGCTTATTTCTTGAATAATTATTAATTAAAAATTATTTCTAGATAAGTGTCACTGTTAATTCCCAACGAATATATGTAGTTTAATTCCCTTATACATCTTATTTTCCACACAGTCAGCTAAGCAACGAAAAAACTAGGCTCAAGACGAGCGTCGTACGGGATATAAGCAGGGAGAGGCGAGCTACTGGCTTATTCAATTTCTGGGAAATTGGCCTGTGTTAAACTAAACGAGTTGAAAATGTATTTTGTTTTAAAAATTCAAATATAAATGGTTGTTCCAATTTTTCCATTTTATGTACTTAAACTGGTGACAATTACACTTTTCTTTTAGAGGGAAGAACTCTTCGAATCGTAATTTAACGTCCTGATCCGCGAACTGAAGTGCTATCCGTTCGAAAATTATTTTATTACTCGGAAAAGACAACTAGAGAGCGTGACGCCAGGGTTATAAACAGGGAGAGGCGAGCGCTGGCTTATTCAATTTCCGGGAAATTTGCCTACATCAAACTAAAACGATGTGCAACAGCTGTATTACTGCTGCGGAGTTGAAAATAATTTTTGTTTTAAAAATCAGGTTATATCATTCCCCCTCCCTGGCAATGTATACTTGAATTTGATGACAATTACACTTTTCTATTCGAAAGAAGAACTCTTCGAATCGTAATTTAACAACCTGATCCGTCCCTTAAGTTCTATCCTTTCAAAAAATGCGTTATAATCAGGGAGTGATGGTGCATTTCATTATTGGTTTTGGGTGGTAGATTTTAAAAATAACTACTCATTATAAACTAAAACAACCAGTAATTTCGATTCAACTTCTAATTTGGTCATAAAAGTGGCATAGAGGCTGGAAATGTCTATATTATGGTGGCGCGTCATCAGGGAAATAAGCAGGGAGTGTCGCTCATATCTCCCGTTAGTGTACCTACTGCTTTCGAGTAACAGATTTAAAAATTAAATATTTTCTTATTGTTCCAATTTCCTCATATTTTGTGTTTTGGAGGAAATTTGTTTAGAGATCTTAACTCACCTTGTCATATACATTTGACAAAGTGAGGATATTTTTCTTTTGTGTGTGTGTGTGTGTGTGTGTGTGTGTGTGTGTGTGTGTGTGTGTGTGTTTTAATTATTGTTTTTTTCTGCCAGGCGAGCTGACATGTCTATTGCCGGCACCTCGCATTTTTCGGTTGGCAAAATTTGGGGTGGGTCCGTGTGGTACTGTATATTCCTTACAAACCAACCTGCACTTACATAAACACATTAAATCTAATAAATACATTCATGCAATATGTACAGATAAAATTTGGGGAGCCACTGGAAATTTTGATATTTATACTAGCGCCTTCCCCCTTTCACTCAATTAGCCTAAAGCATAGCATAATTTGGTGAGTCCGTCAGGTCTATTCTAATTGGTCTATTCCGCCCCACCCATTCTCACTCACTCAACCAATCACGCTAATAAATACATTCTTTCAAGACGATAAAATAACTAACCTAGTTTGGTGTATCTATGAAGTACTCTTCATTCCAACACAAAATGGGTTTGTCTAAATCTAATAAATACATTCATGCAATATGTACAGATAAAATTTGGGGAGCCACTGGAGATTTTGATGCTATACCAGCGCCTTCCCACTTTCACTCGATTAGCCTAAAACATAGCATAATTCGGTGAGTCTGTGAAGTCTATTTTAATTAATCTATTCGGCCCACACCCATACTCACTCCCTCAACCAATCACGCTAATAAATACATTCTTTCAAGACGATAAAATAACTAACCTAGTTTGGTGTATCTATACTCTTCATACCGCCACAAATCCATTCTCTCCAACTTTCTCGCTATATATTCATTCTAGATCGGAAAAACCACGTGTGAAGCCATCATATTTTCGTTGCTATCACTGCTGTGTCTTAGAATTCCTTTAAAATTTATTAACAAGTTTTTCGTTCCTTGCGGCCATGTTCTATCTTTGTTATTGTTATATTTTTTGAACAAATTTATCCATACGAAATTTTATATTGAATTCAAACAATACGATTTCGGGTTTTCATGCACAAAGAATTGTAAATTAATGGGACATTGTCCGATCGTTTAGGCTTCATTTGTTCAGTTGATATCAGCCATGTTTAACTGGTTGACATAAGTAATAAAGAACAAATAACTGACAATCTGAAAATTTATTGAGTAGAAAAAATTAAGCCTTTTAATGAACTTAAGTTTTAAAAAATTCCGGAAGGATTTTGAATCAAGTTTGAAAAATTCAAAGTAACTGCTCTTTTCTGATTAAAGTTAAATAAGTATTTTTATTATTGTGCTTTTAAAGGATCTTTAACAAATATAAAAACAATTTCGTTTCGTATTTTATTTGAAGTTTTACTCACCTGCGAGTAAGTTTTCATTTTGGATCTGGGTCTCGTGTGTCGAAGGAAATGAAGCTGTGAGAGCTGCGCTGCACAGCAATATTGACAGCACAAGCATATCTCGTTTCATCTGAAACACCCAAACTGACTTCTCTAATAAATAAATAAATTAATATATATATATATTTAGACGATATATATATAGTCTAAATTTAAAAAAAGTTTTTACATTAACCCAGAATTAGTGGACAAGAGAGTTAAATACTTCTATTTAATATGGTAATTAATAGTTTTACGTTTATAAGGAAAGTTTCGATCTTTCAAAGCAATGGAATGCAGGCGGCTTAATTTTCCTTTTAGTACTTCTGTAATATAACTTAATAACTTTGTATTGTTTAAGTGTTGGGGAGGGACTTTAAATTGAAGAGTGTGTTTTTATAGCAAAGATTTATGAATACTTAGTAATTAATTAAAATAAACAACGAGAAAAGCGATACTAAATTAAATTAAGTTCCGCAATACTTCAGTTTGAACACTGGTTGTAAAATTCGCACTAATGTTATAATGTGTGGTGGTTAGTGACCGTTAATCGATAATTATTCAGAAATCGTGAGATGCGGTCTGGTGTGATGTAGGTTTCAGATAAACATTTTCTTTATCGTGCCAACGTTTCGATCTTTATTGAGATCATCTTCAGGGCTCAAAGTGTTTATCTTCTGTGCAATTGTGCCATTCTGGCGTGTCGTGAAGAAGACAACACTTTGAGCCCTGAAGATGTTCTCAATAAAGATCGAAACGTTGGCACGATAAAGAAAATGTTTTTCTGAAACCTACATCACACCAGACCATATCTCACGATTTCTGAATAACTAATGTTAAAGTCCAGCTATTTCTGCTCCCTCAAGATCACATATCTAGTTTACATAGTTAGCAAATAATCAATACAATCGGAAAATACATAAATGTTTAAAAAATAATACAGAACTATAATATTACTATATTCGTAGGAATGTCAGACTCCGTCGGGCTTCACCAGAGTTTTGTTTTTCACAAGGAATTAGAAGAGTTCCCCCTGAGCACTGCAGCTGTTCAGCTTATTGTACTTTATCCCTGGCTCCATTTTTGGGGGCTCGCAACACGAGTGTGAATTTGAGCCCCCGGTGTGCCGGTGTTCTTCCAACGAAGAAACTCATGTTTGAAGTGAGTTGGGACCAAATTCAGGGTCTCTGAGATCTGATCTCGCCCCTTCCATTAATGAGTGCCGTGTCAATTTCTTTCAATTGCGGCCACCGGTCCCCTTAGGCGTCAGAAAAAGTCCAGAGGCGACGGTGGGGATCGAACCCATGACCGCGGGATCTATTAGCCGAGAGTCTGACGCCTTAACCACTCGGCTACCGCGGCCAACCAGACTTATGGTCCAAACTGTATATTCCAGTATAACTTAAAAAATACGAAAAAAACTCACTTTGATCAACGGATTAAACCAATGCTGAAATAAGACAAAATTCATGTACATCTTTACTTTAAACTGAAAACAGGCCTCTATACCACTTTCTGCTGATAACTTTGTTTCCGGTGTCACTGATTTTAAAGGCTCCTTTTCTTCCACTGCGACCTAAGAGACCTAGTATAGAATTGCTCTTTGTTTATTTTCAATGCCGTCCAACCTTCATTATTCCCATTTTTATACACTATCCTTAAGTGGTCGAGCACCCGGGGTTCCTCTTCGTTTATTTCTATGGGTATTAATGTCGACTTACCTAAATGGCTGTACCTTTTCTGGGCTAACATAAAGCCGGGAACACATTTACCCGATGCTACGCCATGCGACGCTACCCGACGCAAATCCAAACTCCGATTTTCCATAAGGTTGCAATACCCCCGTGCACATCTACCCGATGCTATGCCACGCTAATCTACCCGACGCTCTGCGATCCCCACTGCCCAGATTTTCGTCGGGTCGCATCGTGTACAGTCGAGGACAAAAGAACCGGACACTCATATTTTTATTCAAACTACATGTATTATTGTCCTTATATTAATTACATACTTATTTTAATATAAACCAATTTAACCGAAATCAAAAATTCATTAGTTTTTTTATTTTAACAGAAATAATTAATAACAAATAATTAATAACAAAATAATGATTTTGCAAAAAATTGATCAAAACACCGGAATACCATTTATTGATAAAATGATTTAACTAATAATTTATTACTCGGTTTTGCTCATCAAATTTAACTAACAATTTATTCATGGTTTTGCTCGTAAAATTACACCATTTTCGTCGGGTAGCATCAGAACGGGACATTCATATTTTTTGTAGTTTATTTCAAACTAAGTACATGTAATTTTGTTCTTATATTAATTACAACATGTTATTTTAATGTAAACGAAATTAAACGAGATCAAAAATTCATGTTTTTATTTATTTTTTTTTTATTTTATTTTTTTTATTTATTTATTTATTTTTTTTTTTGTGGCCTCGTTGTTATACATTAGCCAACGAACCGATTTCGAGGGCCGTGCATCCACCAGTAGCCAGTCGCCACCAACCCGGCCGCAGCGAACGAACAGGGAATGATAGGGCTCTTCTCTCATATTCTCAATCTTTAAGGCCTAATTTTAAATCCATTTCGAGGGACCGTTTTGGAGATGTGGAAAAACCTTACATCGAGATATGTGGAAAAGTCCACATCTCCCAATCCCCCGGAGCCAAACTTGCTCAGGGAGCCCTACCAACCCCACCCACCCACCGCAGACAAGCCAGCCGCGCCCAGCCCCCGACGGACACAGCCCTCCCTAGTTAAGACAAGGGACTCATTTCAAATTTTCATGTTACACCTATAAACAAAATCTAGGAGATGTCCATATATTACACTGTTGTTTAAGGCTAAAAGAGACTTTTAGTTTATGGGTTTGGCCACTTCCTTCATACCGTATAACCTATCCAAAAAATAGTTCCTCTCAGTTAAGTACCCTGGACAGATCATGATCTTATGTTCTGAGTCCTCAGGGATTTTGCAGAATTTACATTGATCGTTCTGCTTTTGATTTATTTTATGAAGGTAAATTCCACAAATTCCATGATTAGACCTAAGCCTATTTATAATTGTGATATCCCGATTGGAAAATGGAACATTTTGAAACCAAGGCTTTTTGGACAACTGAGGTGTAGAAGTGTAGAATTTTCCGTTTTGTTTACTTTCACTATACTTCTGCCACTTTATTCAATTTTGGGTCTTAATTGCACTTTTTGCATCTTGCAAAGGGAGGGTGATAGGAGATACTATAAACTCCTTTTGACGATTTAACGTCGAGGACCTTTTTAATTATCCATGATACAAGATAGTTGTTATCTGAATTAAGGTTAAAATTCTTCAGACTCTCCAAGGAACTTTTTGAGTCTGACAAAATTAATAATGATTCGCTTTTTACATCTTCTTCGTGTACATACTCTACTGCCTTAAAGATGCCAAAAAGTTCAGAAGAATATATACTGAACTCTGGAGGAAGTTTATATTTTTCGAATTTGTTTTTCTGTGGATCGTACCAGGCGCATCCCACTCCAACCTCCGTTTTTGATCCGTCCGTGAATATAAGGTATGGAGATGGGTATAAAGACAAAACGTCACCAAGAAACAACGTTTTTATAAACATTATTTAATTATGATGGTTAGGAATAACTTTTTATCTCAACTTAAAAACCTTAATTAATTGAATGTTATTAATTGGTCAAGCGGACCACGAAAAATAGTGAAGTTAGGAATAACTTTATTTAAAACAATTAAGTTTAACAAACAATATTAGATGGTTGTGCTCATAAATTTAACTAACAATTTATTACAAGGTTTTGATCGAAATAGTGCATTAAGAACAAAAGAGGTGCGATTGTGATACTGATTTGTGATATACGATATGGGACTGTACGTGACATGGCGTCGGGTAGCATCGGGTAGCGTCGCATGGCGTTGCATCGGGCAAGTGTGTCTCCGGCTTAAGACATGTTCCTATGATTTTTGTTTTTTTCTTTTTTTTGCAGGTTTATGTCTCGTCTTAATGAGAGAGAAATAGATTTTTGTTTTCCTGGTGATATGTTGAGGAATTCCTTTGATTGGTAGTGCATTCATTCAGTCTGTAAACATTTCTTTCTTCATATATTTATTCAATTTTTTAGCATGCTTTCGGACGTGCTAATATGCTGTTCTGGTCCAAAAGACCCTGTGAAGGCTGTTCCTGTTTTTGCTCGCGTCCCGGCAACACTTCATAGTTAAGTAACTATTTCGTTTTTCCAGGACCTGGAGATATGTTAGGCATTCCCATGCTAGCTTTGATAGTGGAGGAGTCTAAAGCCTTCAGTACATGTTGTGTGTCTGAGAATATCTGTGCACCCTTTAATTCCTTTAAAGCATTGCTTGTGCACAGAGTTTTATTCCATGGATATCTGCTTGGAAAATTGTTGGCGTGGGGACTAGGGGTTTCGCTAGGTCACAATTTGAGCCTTTAACCCTTGCTCCAATTCCATGTTCCATTCTAGATTAATTTCCATTTTAGGATTTTATAGTTTTCTTTTGGGTCGTTTTTTTTTCATTTTGTCCTAAAAGTCTGTTTGCACTTTCGTATGCCAACGGTGACCCCGAACTGCCAACACCCCCGGGGTGGATGATTCTCGTGGCCCGCAGGCAATTTATTGTAAATTATAAAAGCTCGACTTCCCAGTGAATTGCGATAAGAGATAGGCTCAAATTTGTATGTTTGTATATGCGTGTACAGATTTGAGCATGTATATATCAGTAATCAGTCCAGTTCTGAGTATCTATTGTATACAGAGTTCAGGTACATACCTGAGGTCTAATCGCTGTTGTGTACAGCCAGTAGGCTATTTTCAAATTTATACCACATGTTACCACGAAATGTTTGGCCTATAATTCTCTTCCCTTTTTGAATTTTTTTGCTTATAACACTTCCGATCCATACGACTATTGATTTTTCCGACGAATTTCCCACATTTTGAAAGGACGGCTCTTCGGAAATTACGAATAGTAATAGAAATTAGGATTCGAATTTTCTTTTCATGAAACCGAGACCAAAAAAACAATCTAGTCAGACTAGGCGCGTCAAGGATATAAGTTCGGTGACACGCTTGTTCCTTTTGTTTCAGCGTACGCTGACAATGTACTGGAGCAGTACGATCCTTACATAGATTTGTCCTTACGGTCTGTATTTTTTTTTCTTCTCCTGAGCACTGCAGCTGAGCTGTACAGCTTATAGTACTTTATCCCTGGCTCCATATTTTGGGGGAGGGCTCGCAACACAAATGTGAACTTGAGCCCCCGTTGTACTTCCATCGAAGAAACTCATTTTTGAAGGGGGTTGGGACCAAATTCAGGGTCTCTGTGATCTGATCCCGCCCTTTCCATTGATGAGTGCCGTGTCAATTTCTTTCAATTGCGGCCACCGGTCCCCTTAGGCGTCAGAAAAAGTCCAGAAGCGACAGTGGGGATCGAACCCACGACCGCGGGATCTATTAGCCAAGAGTCTGACTCCTTTAACCACTCGGCTACCGAGGCCCCCCTGTATTATTTAAAATCCTCATTACGGGTAAGTTAAATTAAAGAATTAGACATACTTTGATTGAATATATAAAATAAATATATATATAATATATATAAATATATATATAAAATATATATATTTTGCATTGTATAAATTCACTTTTCCACATCCAAAATGTAATTGTAATATGTAAACAATGTTTGTAAATCCCAGGCCCTGAAGATGATCTCAATAAAGATCGAAACGTTGGCACGATAAAGAAAATGTTTTTCTGAAACCTACATCACACCAGACCACATCTCACGATTTCTAAATAAAAGTTAAATTAAAGATTTATTTGTCCTCCTCTGTGTGTGTAGATTTATTATCTTAGTAGCTTTTCTAATTAATAATTATAATAAAACAGGTCGTCCGGCGATTGTGTTGGCCTGGTCACGATCAACCTGTTGTTCTCCGACCGGTGGCACCGATTCTCAAAAAAGCGCGGGCCCGGCGCAATGCACGACGGTCCGATACAGGACCCGGTAGAAGACCCTGGCCTCGGCCAATCAGCGGCCGGCTCGCCGCACCGACTCCGCCCACCTCTTCCACCGTCCGGGCCGAACGGTCAATCCAAAAACAGTGGAACGTGCCATTTGTGGCTTTTCGCACAATCTCGCTCAGGTCACAGCATCGCCCGACGCTCATCTACACGAGGAAACCTGTGAGTTAATCGACTGTATTTCATCTTTTTCCTAAACCAGAAAAGCCTTTTTTGCGTTTTTAACCAGTAATTTCGCCCTTTAAAAACAATAATCAATGAAGTTTTAACATTTTTCAATTATTCAAATTGTTTTTCACACATCTCTTTTCTTAAAACTTCTATGATTATTCACAAGTTATTTTGTAAAAAAACAAACAGCTTTACCAACACTTTAAAAAAAAAATAGATATAAGAAAAAAACGAATAATAACAAACTTTGTTATTATAACCAGTAAAATTCTGTCCATTTTAGAAGAACAAAAACCTAAGGGGGTAACAAGATAAAATAAATACAATGATTCTGTTGCACTCAATCCAAACCGCTCAGTTTCCTTACAAATCACTTTCATTCTTAATCATAGTTGTAAATCAAAAGCAACAGCTTTTATGCAAAATATGTTAAGCCTAAATTTGTTCAATTTGAAGATCAGACGACAATATCGGATACCAGAATAAAACTTAACTTTGTACGTACCTATAACAAACATTAATGATTTAAAAGACTTAATGCTCATTTTATTTAATAATAAAATAATCACTTAAAAAATTAACACAGTTCTGTTCAAGTTGAACGTGGGACAAACTAATGAAACTACGTTTGGAACTTTTTTTATGGTATTGCGCAACACTTTTTGGCGGGTTTAACGTGAAACCACCTGCTTGTGTTTATGTCCAAAAATATTGAATTTTTGTCTAATTTTTGTATTAAAAACGTGTTCATGGAAGATAATAAGATATGATTTTAATACAAAATACGCCTGAATATGAAATAAACCTAGTTATAACCCTTTATCCCGTTACAAAAAGGATGCAAATAAAGAAACTTATTAAAACTATTCGAATTTTGTAATCTTATATAATTCATCTTAATCCTGTGTCACTTGACTACTCATCTATTGATTCAAAACACTCTATTCATGTTCATGGGAGATACATGATTTGTTGATTACTGTCACAAATAGGAATACTAGGTAAACAGAAAAAATTGTGCGGGTTTTCATTTGGTATTGTTTTAGTATCGTTATACAACATTTCTCTTTACGTAGGAGGATTAGGTGTTTACATTGTGTAATACCAAGAGGATAATGCAGTTCATAAAGAAAAAGTTTTGAACTGTTCACTCTAAATTATAAAATATTTACTTTCTCATGGTTTCAAAACTCATAATTTATCCATCCCGATTGTACGAATGTTAGCTCGGTACTAGCTCGGTCGAGGTTGCTCATAAAATTTGCACTGCATTTGGTGATGAAACAATTAGTTAGTGCAATGCTCAAAAGGGGTTCAAAAGTTTTAAAAAAATACTCCACCAAACGTAAAGCATATCCTTTTGTTGTTTATGGTTTATTTGGTTTACGCATCAATGTGACAGGGTCATTTGGGGACATCTAATAATATGATCTGTACAGGATGCAATTTTTGTCTCATGTGACAATCTTGTCAATAAACACATCATCTTTGCATCGTGAAAGCAATGAAAGGCAAATGTTTAGACGTTTCAGCTTGTTACTGTCGGTCAATTTATGACTTCTTCCCAAGTTGAAGTAACCTAGAGCGAATGGTTTCATCACTTATGGTCAACATTGACAAGCTCCTGGCATCTTATGAAGTTTGATAGCTTCCCTCAATTCGCCTTCACTCAAGAGAAAAGGTCTACCAGAGAATGGTTCATCTTCAATCCCTATGCTCCCAGAAGCAAATGTTTTGAACCACTTTTGGGCAGTGTACTAACTTATTGTTTTATCACTCAATGCAGTATCAGAGGCACAGTCCATCATAGCCTAAACCCTGCAAACCACAGTGAAGAGGCGGCCCCAGGCAGGAAAAGAAGGGAACCATACGGATTAATCTTTTTGAACATTTTAATGAGTTTTTTTGTGGAGGAGTTGTGTCTACTCACACTTTCCCCAAACTCAAAGGAGATATTTTAATCTCAAGAGTCCAGGAAAGCATTCTTCAGTCCAGTCCAAGATTTTTTTTTTCAAATTGATTGTGGAAACCAGGTTTGCAGCTTTTTAGCTTGTACTCCTTCCTAGTCCCATTTCGGGGGCTTGAACATGTGTGTGCAAAGAAGAAAGAAATTAATTTTTTGAAATTTAGTGTCGTTGAGACCCCATAGTGCTGTGACAACTTTCATTGTTGTCACTGCTCCCCTTATGCATCAGGTGGGAAATGAACCCATGACTGCAGAATCTTCTAGCCGCGAATCTGATGCTTCAACAACTCTGCTACCCCAGCCTAGCCCAAGAAACTCACCAACATCTGAAGCCCTGGACAGGTGCTGCATCGACTAAGCAACACCACACGACCCATATAGGGTGCTAGCAGAGAAAACATAAATATATAAAGGATAATCAAATATGATTTTTTTTTTTTTTTTGAGGAGGAGGAGGAGGAGGAAACAATGAGTGAGCAATAAATAAACTTAGATCATGTTGTTTACTATCTTTTGATGCACTGTTGGTGCTGATCAACTGAAAAAGAAATGAATGTGAAAGTCACGTATTGAGATTTTTCCATGTGGTCAGCAGAGACAGATCATTCTGGTGCGTGGAACCATAATAGACCAAACCAACATACCAATATTTTTCCAGACTATCATATGTAATATTTGTCGAGAGCTGAGGTAATATTGCATAATTGGAGTTGGAGTATTTATCACAATTTATCACTTGTGGCAAAATTTAGATTTATTTAAACAAACTTAGCACAAAACAATTGGCCATTATCTCACTACATAAGTTCACTCCAGTCTGTTTTGTGGAAGTTTGTATGATTGATGCATGTTAAATAAATCATGGCAAAAAAATCAGAACATCTTGCAGTATTTTTTTATTTTTATAGTTTAATGTCAAACTAATGTTTTATCAATATGTTGGGTCCAAACTAAAATTAAAATTTTGATTGCACCATTCGCTTCAACTAATTCAATTAAAAATCCATGAATTTGTTTACTGATAGATATGTCAAAATTTTCTATATTTTCTATCTACATTTCAAAGACCATATTATATATCAAAAGTCAGATTTGTAAAACTGTTTTTATATGGAATATAGTTCTGTCACAATTGACAATTAGGGTTTTTGAAATTTACTGATTATTATGATTTGATTATAGATATAGTTTCACATTAAACTTAACGATAATTTAAAACCCTTCTAAACAACACTATAACAGCGTTCCTCAAATATTATACTTGAATTGTAATTTAACTTAATTGGTGGCAATGAAATAACTTTGGCCTGATATGTATAAATAAATTCTAATGTAGACAGGCTTGTTTTGCTTAGGGAAGAAGTGTTTTTTTGGATATCAGCCAATGCTGATCACTAGTGCAATATTAGTAAAAATATATATAATACATATATTGTAAATATTTTATTATTGATATAAACTTTATTTTAGGTTCTATAATTTTTTTCTGTTATTTTTTGACGATGCTTCAACAAAAGTTGAGTTTTTAAATCAAACAAATTTTTAAAAAATTGTAAGGTCATCCGATAAAAAAATGTTTTGATGAATACAGTAGAAAACAATTTCTGTAAAATTCCAGATCACTTTTAATATACATAAATAAAATTTATTTTTTGTTTTCTATAATATTTTTTTTTCTTTTAAAGTTCTATTAATAGTTTTTCTATAATTCATGAATAAATACCACTTTCTTTCATTAAAGTCCTTTTGGAGTGGAAAGAATCAATTTAGGCTCATAAACATTTTAATGATAAATGATGATATAAGACTAATTGAAATTATAACTAGTTTTTAAAAATTACAGTTGTAATAGGTCTGGTTTAATCCTTGTTTTGTGTTGATTAATGGTTAGATTTGGAAACACAATATTTTGTACAGTAAAAAAACAAAAAATTGAACCATGTGACAATGCATAAAATAATTTAATAAAACCTGTCATATTAAAAGATTATTTAACATTTGTAGTTGAAAAAAACAAAAAACAATCATGATTAAGAAATGAAAAACAGTTGAGTTGGTTTAATTGAGTGCAAAAAAATACAAGTAAGTAAATCACTCATTTTTATACTTTGTAAATTTAAAAAAAATCCCCATTGTTAACTCTGCCAAATTCTCAAAGATTCTTTTATTCTTTTGTAGGGTGTTTTCCCCAGCGGCTTTCAGTAGACAGAATAGACCCCCTTTTTTCTAGCCCTTTTTGATCCTTTTCTTCCACCGGCTGTCGGTCGAGGCAAGATGACTGATAGGAAGGCGGTTATTAAAAATGCTGACATGTCCGAGGAGATGCAGCAGGATGCTGTCGACTGTGGGACGCAGGCCCTCGAAAAATACAACATCGAGAAGGTAACTTTTTAAAATTTCTTGTACAGAGAAAAATTATTTCTGGTAATCGGTGTAAAGAACACACATTGAACTACGATACATTTATCAAACGTATGCATTAACTGAACACAAATTAAACCTAATATTTTTTTCCTTGGTATACAAGATTGTACTTATTCTGATTTTAAAAATTAGCAATTTGCCAATTTTCAATGAATGTGTTTTTACAAATGAATAATAATTCCTATTGGTAATGGTAAACATTTAAGTAGATACTATATACATAGATAATGGCTCACTATTGCAAGTTAGTTTTCCGCTTGAGTAAGGCTATTTTTGTTTACATTTTTGTAAAAAGCTTATTATATATTCTTAAATCATGTAAAACTGGATCTACAGTCTTAGTTGCTTCTATAAAATCTTTCTATTAGGCTCTTTAAGATGTTAATTCACAGTGAAGTAGGCATTCTTTTTGTATTTCCAATTGGATTTTAATTTATATTTCATATAAACTCTCTTCACAATTTTTTATTGGTTTATATTGTTCCTCAGTATTCTGTTCTAAGCAGTGCTTATTTTTTTCCAGGACATAGCAGCTTACATCAAAAAAGAATTTGACAAGAAATACAACCCTACTTGGCATTGCATTGTCGGGCGCAACTTTGGCAGCTATGTGACGCACGAGACTCGCCACTTCATCTACTTCTACCTCGGGCAGGTGGCGATCCTTCTCTTCAAGAGCGGTTAAATTCCCTCCGAATGCCTGCCTCAAATTCACCTATCCAAAAAAAACTACCCAAAAAAAACCAATATTATAAACTTCCAAAATTGAGAAAAAATATATAAAAATTACATAATTGTGGTTATCGTAATTAGGGAATGCCTTACACCGGGGGTTGGGAACTATATCGTAAATGGTTTCTTGTTGTTTTGAATAACCAATAAAATATTTTGGAATAAAAATATTGTTTGCATCATAGGCAGGTCTGGTACGGTTGAGTGTGCGATAAAAAGTAGCCATAAAGTACTTAATTTTTGTTTTTATAAACATGTTTTGTAAATTGTTCAAGTTATATCTAGTCTTATGAATCTTTTATTTTTCAATTTGTGTTTTTTAATAACAGGCCGTACACTTAACTCATTGTTGTATAACACTTTAACAAATAATACTACCGACTCCTAACTTTTTTGATGGCTATAATAAAGCCATTGTGTTCATTTATTATTGTTATTATAATCAAATTATTTAACTTGTAATGTTGAGTAGGTAGGGTTGAAAAGCATTTTTTTCACCCTTGTTCTAAGTATTGTTATACATTCCTAGTTCATTATGGGAATTTTTAAACTGTATTAAAAAGTATTAGACTTAAAATTGTTCTTTCAAAGGGCAAAGTAAAGTTCTGTTCTAATCTTTTGCCCAATCAATTGTGATTAACCTAGTTTTACAACTGAAATCGACTTTGTACGTATTTCATATTTTTTCTCCCTTTTGAAATACTTTGAATAAATTGTGATTATCCTGCAGTAGGTTTTTTCAACCTGCAAATGAATTCCCCACACACACACACCCACCATCCTAGGCCTAGATGACCATTATTTTCTAAATTCTTTAAAATTGTTGGTTTATGTAATTTTCTTATGAAACCTTATCTGGATCTGGCTTAATTGAAAAGGTTCTGTGAAATTATGAATCTATTAATGGACCTGCATGAAGCCAATGTATTTATTTCAAATAAGTTTGGTTGGCACGCTATAGATAATTTTTCAAATAAAATATTAACACTAGCACTTATGTATATTGATTTTTTTTTTAAATCCAGGAGGCATTTTGGGAAAAAATTACCAGCGTATTACTTTAACAACAGAAAAAAGTTTTTCGATAGTTAAACCTCTTAATTCTAAAGTCTTCCTGAAGTTCTTTGGTCCGTTGAACCGAGTCGGTTGGGAAAAGTCGATGTTGGAATCCTAATTACTAATTTTACTTCCCCCCCCCCTGGCACAGAGAGCAGGAACTCCTAAACGCCCACCACATTTCTGATAATTGGCCCAGAAGTGGGTCCGTGAGGTAAAAACGTCCCGGCGAGGGGGAACGGATAATCGTCTGTACATACACTCGGAACAGCATAAGGCAAATGTTTGAAAATAAATATCAAACAGCGTATTGTAGAAAATGGGTAGATTTTTGATCGGTGGCGTGTCTTAAAAATGGCGGTTTGGTCGAAATTCATCACTGAGTTTAAATTTGAATCATTTTCGGTCGAATAAATAACGAGGCTAGGCGGACCGGTGTTAAGAATCATCTTCATAGTAAAAGATGTGAGGCCAGGAAGACAGAAACAACATTTCTTTTCTTTTCGAGCTTTCGGCAGAATATATCGCCTTCATCAGGACTTCGAAAAAAAAATCGTTATACTATATGAATAGGTACATGTGGGTAACGGATAGCCGGTAGAACCCGGATTTTTTGGGTTCTACCGGCTATCCGTTATCCACACATGTACATGTTCATATAGTATAACGAGTTTTTTTTTTCGAAGTCCTGATGAAGGCGATATATTCTGCCGAAAGCTCTAAAATAAAATAAATGTTGTTTCTGTCTTCCTGGCCTCATCCCCAATCTACCTTTTGGAAAGAAAAAAATATATTTAAGTTATAATAGCAATATGGTGTACAAAATAACTGTGAACTCCAAGTTACGAGGTTTTTAATTTTTCTTGGGATGTATTTCTTAATTTTATATTCTTTTTGTGCTAATTAAAATATTGCTATCTATAAAAAAACACAAATAAATACAGCATGATATGTTTTTTTTACACACTGAAGTTAATTAAAAACACCATTGCTGGAAACTTTCTTGCAAAGCGATACTTTCGAAAGGCAAAGCTAATTTTAAAATGAATCAAAATTAGAATTTTTTTTCTAAAATATGCCAGAATGAAAGATTTGATGAAAGCCAAGCAAAACCAAGAGAATAGGTCTGAAATTAAATTTGAAAAGCGCATTCTTAAAATACGACTCGTAAGATATCAGCATTTATGCTTCATATAATAATAGATTTTTTTTTACAAAAACTGATTTTAACATAAAACCACGGAAGACTTGTAAATCCTATCAAAATCTTCTGACAGCTTGCTTTAAAAATATATATAACCACGACAATCAGCATAAAATGGAGTTCAAAAATACTTTCTTTTACATTTTTAAATATTGAAGTTTGTTTATACTGCCTCTCGTGCATACTGAGTTTTTCTTTGTTTAACTTAAACCAGAGCAAATTGCGAAATTCTAAATTCTTATTGAGTAGTATTTATACAAACTAGTAGGATTTATAATTATAAATATTTTTCTCTAGCATGATGCAAATTTTAATTCAAACTTTGCACAAACATGCCTAACAATCGAAAGTAAAATCATACAGCGTGAATAGGTCAGCACTAGGCTGACCTCCACATTACCTTGATCTTACAAATGTTAAAGTTGGATTATGTCTATTTTTTATAAACGATGGTTCTACTCACGGATTTGTTGTTTACAACAATCCGGATTTCAAGCAATAAACGCTCATCATCAGTTGAAGGAGTTACGTCCCTCGACATGAATTGTAAGAGCGAACTCGCCGATTCACCGCCAACGCGATTTTCCAATGAGAAGCTGATTTTTTAAGGCCGCTCAATTTTGAAATGCGAAAAACGTGAATACAACCCAACTAAATATTATCCTAATAAATACTGTAAGAAAATAATTTGTGATTAATTTGTACGCCAATTATTATTTAGGTACAAGTTTAAAATAGGAGGTAAATAAAATTATACTATTCATTTTTCTCCAGTTTGATTTTACATTTTTTTTTAATTTAAAATTTATCAAACCAATCTAGACTCCCTTAAATTTATCCTTCTTTGGGCGCACAAGTTTATATCCCTGTTTAATTGACCTTTTGACCTTAGTTTGTGACCTGTCTACAACAATGAGGCAATTAGAGAATCCATAGTCTGATTAGAGGCCAATTCAGACCCCCTTCGAGCCAATATGGTGGACAGCTAAAGCTCAAAAACTCCCTGAAAATAATTGGATTGCAAGTTTGTAAGTATAATTCGATTCGTTAATTTACAACATTTGTTCAGATACCATGCTATTTCTGGAACATCTTATATTAAAAAAATGACGGACCAACCCAGCGAGGAGAAGCAAATGTTCGGTTACGGCCAAATATACAGGTTCACCAACCCGCAGACTACAAGGGAAAATCTCAATACGAATTAATTTGTAATGGAAAATAAGAGAGAGAAAAAACAAAAGGAGTTTGAAGCAAATAATTGTATAATGCACAATAATGTAGCCAAAATTGATCCAAAAGAAGGTGGGCTTTTAATATTTTGAGTGAAGTTTTAGCTGCTTTTCTGCCATATTCGTGCTATAATATTTATTTCCGTTTTTATAAATTATAATATTTTAATTAGCAACAAAAATGATACAAAAAGAAATGTGGAAACATCTCAGGTGGTTGACTATTTACTGGAGTTCATACGACCTTTGTAAGCCTTGTCTGATATTTATATATCTTTAAAAAATGAAAATTCATTTAAAAAATTGACGTGCCAACCCAGCGAGGATAAGCAAAAAGATCAGTAACGACCAAACTACAGGTTCACCAACCCGCAGACCACAGGAGAAAATCTCAATAGTAATTAATTTGCAATGAAAAATAAAAAGGAAAAAACACAAATAAATGGGATTTGAAGTAAATAACGCAAATAACAAACAGCACTGTTCAAGATGAAGTTTAAAAGAAATTAAAAAGCCCGTTTAATGTAATGCGCTTCCTGTGATACAAAAGGGCTTAACGTCCCACTTCAAGTTGTGGTTCGTGGAGGGGGGCAAACCACGTTACCTTTCCCAACCGAATCTCAAATAAAATTCAAAGGCAATGCCAGATTCGAACCCAAAACCGTGAGCGTGGCAATACGAGACGGGCGCCTAATAACTCGGCCACCGCGGCCCCCAAAAAGCTCATAACAGAATTTGTTCAGATATGCAATTTCTGTAGGAACTGGAATTATGGGACCACTTCAAATCAAAGCCCACTTTACTTTAACGAAAGTGATAATAAATTACGTAATTATCTGTTTACTGTAGAAACCGTATGCATGCTATGTTGTTACAAAAGAGTCAGGTCTATGGGATCATGTCTTTTTCCTTAAGAAAGAAAAAAGAGGCTTATAGGGCTGGCACCAAAATTTTAAAGAATCTTCCGAAGCTTATCTTTCTTATTATGAATTTCGCGCATCATGGTTGAAAAACTGTTTCGTTTTCTCCCATCTACTGGCCTGTTTTACACTACAACCCGTACAGATTAAGTGTTTCTCACATCCCTCGATATTTAATGTATTGTTTACGTATCATCGAATTCTCCGACAAGATTTCACGTTGTAAATTTTTAATTATTCATAAAATTTGACTCTTGACAAGAGAAGGTTATTAATATGTAAATTGAATATTGTTTCCATAGCAAACAGAATGCAAACGATTTTATGTAGCCTTTATTATATCTTATTTAATTTTTTACCATAAATAAATTTTTTGAAAAACACCATAACACTAACATGAGAACTGTTACAAGAATGCAGTTTAATTAAAACATCTCTCTCTCTCTCGCTCTCTCTCTCTCTCTCTCTCTCTCTCTCTCTCTCTCTCGCTCTTTCTCTCTTTCTTACTCTTTTTTCCATTTATCTCACTTTCTCTCTCCCACTCACGCTTTTTTCTTTCTCTCTCATTGTAATTACCTTTCTCTATCTCATTCTCTCTCGTGCTCTCTCTGTCACTTTTTCTTTTTCTCTCTCCTTCTCTCACTCTGTCGTTCTTTCTCTCTATCTCTTACTATTTTTCTCTCTTAATCTCTATTGCTCCTTTTTGTCTATCTTTCTCTCTATTTCTTATCCTTTCTCACTTATTCTTTCTTTCGCTCACTCACACACCTACTCTCTCTTATTCTCTCCCACTTATTCTCACTCTCTCTCTTTCATTCATGTGAGCTTTAACAGATGCATGTAGCTTACTGCAGAAAATATGTAGATTACGTAAAATCGGTATAACCAACTTACACTTTCTAACATACCAGGTATCATTCGTAATTTTCCGAAGGAACCTGTTCTGCAACGTTGGTGTTTTGGTGAGTTTAGTGTTAGACGCTGGTCCTCACATCGCCTTTTCCTTATTATCTTTTGACTTTAAACATTATTATTATTATTTAGTAAGTCGAGTAACTTGTGAGGAGTAGTTGGCGTTGTAACAATAGACGAAACCTGATACGAAAGTGATATCCTTGAGGGATTTACCCGCTATCGACTACTACTTGATCATCGCAGGCGATTTTTTATTAGTAATTTTTATTATAATTTCTGTGCCATTGTCTTAATCTTTCGATCTCCAGATCATTAGTCGATCCTGTCAGCGTAGTCTTGTATGTCAGCTGTTTCATGAGGGCTGTGTTGCAAATTGAAACAATAACTTCTTAGAAGTTAGGA